GAAAAAATGTTACTAAAATACCATGTAATCAGTCATTCAGCTGCTAACTGCACCGCAGACACATAAACCCATCTCCCTGGCAGGCAGCCACTGCCGGGGAAGCAGGCTGCCGTATCGGATTTGAACCACTCTCGGCAGAGATTTTCAAGCTGTATTGACTTGTAAGGCTTTTAGGCTCCTGCACCTCTGAATAACAAAACTGGCTGGTACTGTTAATAAAACCCCACTGTGGAGGTGACAAAGGAGACCCTGCAGTCAGTTTTACAGCCATCTGCAGTACGACACGGCCCCGAGACGTTCCTGGAACAACTTCATCCCGAGTGAGACACGGAGATGTCACGGCGTGATCCAGAGCAGAACAGGCAGTGCCAGTCAGTGAGAGAGAAGAAACACCCGCTGCAAGCGCAGGCTCTGGTCTTGAGGCTCATCAGCCCATCCTCTTTGCACTTCTTCGCTGCAGAGACCGCAGCCAGGCGCGGAGCTCGAGTCACAGCCACGGGACGGGTGAGCCTGTGGTGTCTGTGCCAGGGAGCCTGGGGAAGGTCGCATGCAGATGTGCAGGAGCTGGGGCATGACACTGAGGGACGAACAGCCAGCACCAAGCTGGGCAGCTGGGGTTTTGGCCTGGGGGCACTTCAGCAGCTTGCTCAGCACCAGGAGAGAGGGCGGGAGGCCCCTGTGCTACGCCACGCAGGCTGCAAATCCCACCCACAGCCAAACCAGTACTTGTCAGCCCACCTGAATTCCTCTGCTAACTGTCGTGCCTCTCGGTGTTTTATCCCTGCCACCGGTGCATCTGTCACATTTGGGTTAGGCTAGGCTGCTTTGGGAAGCCACCGTTATGGCTATCTGCATATTATTTACAAAATAGCTCATTAGATAGTTTTTATAAATATTACATGCAGCTACACAAGACTTTGTGAGGATGTCTCTTGACATCTGCTTATTTCATATGAGATCACAGAGTTTGCTGCTATTCTGCCTGGCCTTGGAAGGAAGCTTCAGCACTCTGACGGAACCCAGACCCAATTAAGACTCAATTAGAGACAGATGAATATTTCATTATGAATAATGCGTACAAAGTAATTCACCTCTTTTCTCCATGCACAGCCCACAATTTTCTCCAGTGAATTCTTTATTCAAATTATTCACAGAAAAACAAGTATAAATAATTCTTGGTCTGCACAGTCTTCCATAACTGCCACCACAAGCCTTCCAGATCTGGGTCAGCTGGACACAAGCAATTGATGGCACTGGTGTGCCCTATACATTCAAAAACCATCAGTCATTTTCCCCAGATCATCAGAGAGACGTGTAAATCTCAAGATAAATAAATGCTGGATCGTTTTAATTTGCCCTCTTTGTTCTGGCTCCTCGAGGACATTTGAATTTAATTTTCAAGCTTTTCTCTGCAATGTATTTGGAAGCTGAAACTTTCATCTAATTACGTTTCCACATCTCTAAGGAAAACACCAAATACCAAGATGCTTAGGATCAAAACAGGAGCTGATGACCCTGAGGTGTGAGTTTATTCTCTAACTGGTTCAGCAAAACTCTCCAGCGAACATTTGTACCAAAACTCGTAATTACACTCTGCTTTGGTACATTTGCTGAAAGAGCCGCTTACAATTTGCTCATTCTGTCTCCCGGTGACACCTCCACTGTGTTATTCACTGCGGAGGCACACAGGGAGTGGAAATATGTGACACGAGTGAGCAAGTCCCGCAGATATTTTCTACTTGCTCAGCTTTATCTTCAAGCCCGTCATCTGGTGATCAAGGTTCTCTGAAGTTTGCTCTTGTCAGGAAAGTTTCTTTCTAGGCTACAGGAAGGATAACTTACCCGAGAAGAAAGACAGAAGCAGCAGGCTGAGAAGCACTAAGGTGCCTGTTGCCTTCATGCTGCAGGCAGCTAGCTCTTTAGTCCACGGCAAGCAACCTGTTCGGGATGTGTTGTCTCAGCCCCAGAGCCCACAGTGTGCTCACGGACCTGCCTTTCTGTGTATTTATGCACCCATCCATAGCTGTCCTCATTCCTCACCTTAATTGTGAGAACTTCTCCACTTCGTTTCTAAAGCCATTATTGGTCCTGTCCGTGTTTATGGTGCTTTAAGAATGCTGCCCTGTCCACATCAAACCTAGAAAGGGCTAATTATATGAGTGATAGACTCGGGCCTGTAATATCTGTTGTTTTTTTTTTTTTTTTTTTTTTTTTTTTTTCTTTCTAAATAGTCACAGGATTCTCACAAGGGTGAATTTTCAAAGCGGTGATTCATCGGGGAAGCTGGTAATTTTCATTCTCTGGGTCCTCGCTGAATGCCAGCTCCGAGGCTTTGAGCGCGGCGTGATGACACTCACCAGACATTACGAAATAAATCACAGCATGAGAATGTGTTGTCTGCGAAACCAATTATACGTTGTTCCCTGGCTATTTTTGAGGATGGTTCTAAATTTGTTGAGTTGGGGTGGAGAAGGACACTGATGCTCTCATAGCTTTCTGTAGAGCCCCACATAGGACTGCTGCCTCTCCTCCCTGAAGTATTTAAACTATAGCTGTCAATGTTTGCCGGCTTTTCACATTCGCAAACATATGCTAGGGCTCTTCTTCCACGGCAAGTGGCAACTAAGGGAATTTGATGGAGAACTGGGAGACCTGAGCTCCATTTCCAGCTGATTCTGTGCAAAGATTTGTGTTCATTTGCACCATCTGCAAAATTTCTGTTCAGATAGGAATAATCTTTTAAAATTTCAGTATGCATTCCTAAGGAGACAAGGGTTATCAGTGTACCATGCATGGAGAATATTTGTTTCCCTAGCAAATTTTAAATTCTAATTTTAACTAATTCTAACCAAGTTTGGCATAGGAGTGAAAAAAATAAAAAAGAAAGCACTTTATACATTTTTCTAGCAACCAAGAGTTCCACTAACATCTTCATCTGGCAAGGGAGTGTTTCTGCAAGAGAGCAATGTCATGACTGCCCTGCATCTGGAAAAGCATTAGTTTGCCGCTCGCTAGACATCATAAAACCCACACAGGAGAGGAACCGTGACTGACAGGTGAGTTCTCAGATGTCTATTAAGGGTGAGCTCACAACGCAGCCTCTCGTATAATTTAGTTATCAAGCCCGCCAGCCGCAGCACCGTTCAAAATCACGCTTAGTTCTGCCACTTGCAGAATCACTTGTTTGCCTTTTCTAGCTTCAAACGCCACTGCTCACCACCCCAGCACTAATACCTGAGCTCTTTATCTACCCAAACGTTTTATTTGCTGCAGCATAACTGATTGGGTTAGTTAGAAAATGTACTACAGGGACCAATCCCTAGCGGGCCAAAGAAAGGAAGAGACTAAATTAGCAAACAGGTGATTATCCTGATTACCCCTCTTTCCACTTCTTTATAACGTGTGAAAGAGGCCACTTGCTGCTGGAGGTGGGGAAATCTGCTGTCCCTCTGAGTTCTCTTTTTTTTTTTTGGCTGGAGGCTCACAAGGCACCTGGGATATGGCCATATACCCCGTACCTGCCCTTTGCCCTCTATTTCCCTTCAGAAGAGCAGCTTTTCTTTGAGCTTCTCCAAAACCTTTTGAGCTCCTACACAAGTGTCCAGCTTCCTCCAGCACAAACTAGTATTATGGAGGAGGCTCACCATAGGATCTTGTTGTTGGAAATACTGTCCTGCCAAGGCTGTAATCCTTGGCCAACAAGACATTACAGCCAATCGGTGTCCTTTGCTGAAGGTCCCTGCTCACATCCACCAGCTACTTAGAACATTTCTTCATACGTGTATTTTTCCCATAGGCAGGTTAGCAGTGAGCTTATGGCTCTCCAGTTTGTATTTCCTTACCAGCAGGCACACAGGCATGCTTTGGTTTATAGTGCCCATACTAATAGAAAAAAAAAAAATCATGTAAGTTCCTTCCCTCTTCCTAGGATGGGACACTGCTCTGGCCTGTTATTAAGGGAAAGACAGCTTCTTGTCTTCTGGTGGGAAGCGCCTACAACCTTTCTAGGTCAAGAAATGGCCTACTTCAGTAAAAAGAGGCCTAGAGAAAAAGCTTGGAATTCACAGATTTTGTCCTCAATATCAGCCTTAACAGGCGACTGCCTTTGTACGTATCAAGAGAATTGGAAGTGGAGAAAGGAAGGGGAAGGGGGTGTGAGTGGGGCACTTGGGACTTTTTGCCTGTGCTGTTTGCATACTCACTCCTTGACTCACCCAGAAAGATGGCACATCGTCATGAACATTCATATACATCACTGCTCTTCCAGCGCACTCTTTAGCCTCCCACAAAGATACTATCTCCATATACCACCTTTTTTTTTTTTTTTTTTTTTTTTTCCAGACAGAAACCACCTCGGAGCTACCAGCACTTCTTCTGGCTCTTCCTTCCTATGGCTACAGAATCCAAAACCTTTATCCTTAAGGGCCCCTTATCCTTCCTCTGCCTCAAGCACCCCAATGGCAACTTTTCAGATCTCTTCTCCAAGAAGCCAAAAACCTGAGACCAGTCTAGTTTCTCCTCTGCTCCTCATTAGGCTCATTAAAGCCTTGCCCAGCTTGCTGCAATTTTCTGCTGATCACCACAGTCTCGAGGCACACACCCTTCAAGGAAGCAGCAGTTCCTAATTTTCTTCCCCGTGAGATAGTCTCCTCCCTTTGCCATAAGCCTCCTCCTTTTAATGCACTGCCAGACCTGCCCCATGCCCAGGTAGGGCTGGCCCATTGTTTCCCATTCACACTACCCCAGGGCCATTTCCCTCACGCCAAGGCTTCTAAAAGGACCAGTTCCTCCAAGGCTCAGTGCTGTTACAAAGCCAGGCTCTGTCCGTCCAACACAAATCCATTTATATGCTGTAAAACACAGAACCTGGGAAAGCAGTAGTATTTTATAGCAGCTTGTTTTCTCCTCTGATGGTTTGGTATGGAGTGACGTACTCTCGTGAGGGCTTGGGCTGTTGTGTGATGGGCGTTACACTTCAGTCTTTATTGTGGTTTATTTCGAAACTTCTCCTGCCTGACAGATAAGTACCTAAAAGCCTGAAGACCATTACCCCTATCCTGAAGAAGAAAACAAAAAGTGCATGGCAAAGAGGGTGGCTGGTTTTGATTTATTGATGGATCAAAGCAGAAACCAATGTACAACAGGGAGCAGGGAAGAGCACATTGGAGCTGTGGGCTTTGTCAGAGAAAGGCAAGGGTGAAGGTTACGTGCCAACACTCAGCATTCACCGTGGTGCTTGAGGGTCAGGGAACCCCGGCTCTTCCTGGAGAGAAAGAGGGAATCCAGAATTACAGATGTGGAAGGTAGCTTTATAGCCCCGCCAGTGCTGTTGCTAACTTTACCCATGTAAGCCAACCCTCCATGCTATCCATGTGAGTCCCTCACTTACGGTTTCACCTGATTCCCCAGGTTACATGCTTTGTCACAGGAAAGAGATTTGGGACAAAGCCTGTAATTTTGGATACTCATCCTACAGTTAGGGTTTAAATTACCCTCGCAGGGAGCGAGTCAGGAATGCTACAAGCCTGCGAAGGGGAATTTGGCTTTAATTGTGAGGGGAGGAGAAGACTCACTTGGGTTTAAGATCTGCAGTGCCTGCAGGGGCACAGGCAAGGGAGCGTCAGGAGAGGGACAGGGAGCGGAGATGGATTTACTGAGGGGCTAACGGGAGCGCTGGGGCTCGGGCACAGCAGTGTTTTCCTGGCTGTGTGCTGAGCGCCGTACTTACAGAACTGCAATGCAGAAGTGGCATTTGTTTCCATATGTTCTGCCGTCAGAGCCACAGAGGGGCATATACTCAGCGGTGCAGTAGACGTTGGTGCTCTTGAATCCACTGCAGTCGATCTGTGTGTTACGGAACTGCAACACATTGTGAAGCTTTTGTTCCCCATATTTTCCTATGTCTGCTTTATGTCTATTTAATGTTTACAATATGGCAAAGCATAAAAACATTTTTCAGGTGCAGGGCGCTGTTGTTCTAACAACTCTGAAAAACCTAACCTGCTCGCCTGACAGGGTACAAAGTGGGAAATCGGGAAAGAAATCTAATAAATACCCTCAGAGCAGTGAAATGGCCACACCAGTACTTCCAGGCTGGCCCTCCTGCTCTGCTCTGGTTCAGCAGCCCAACATAGAGAGGGTGCCAAAAAGTGGGGTGTCACAAAGCACATGGTACAAAGTTCTCCCACATGAGGAATGCCATCTGCTGCTGGTGTTGGCACTGGCTGAGCCCCTGCGCTCCCCTGGGAGGGTTAAGTCTGCACCCCTTCCTCAGGCACTTCTCTTCTCCCAGTGAATCAAGGTTTCAGCATCATCTGGCTGCTCTGTTCCCAGGTCAGAAGCTGTGCAGGTGGAGACTGCACCTTGGAGATGTGGGTTTTGTTCCTTTGACCCTGGCATACTTCAGCTGTTTTCCTCAAATCCTATTTCCAGGCCAAATACGCCAGCAGAGTGCAGGCATTTCTCTTACGTCGTTATGACTCACTGAATTTTCATCGTGTAGCACATTATAACAAGGGTTCACAGTGCAGACTTCTCGGCTTTACCTTGGGGCATTTTCCAGGCATGAGCAGGTCGATGTCCTCTCCATTCCTTTGGGAAGAAGACATATTGAGCATGAACAAGCACATCACAGCCACTTCAGGGGCCAAGCCCCCTCACTGCCCTACAGATACTGACACCAGCACCCAGCCCAGCACTCACGCCACTGCCGTGCAGAAGCTGCACTTGTTGCTGTAGGTAACCCCGTTGGTGGCACACAGTGGGTTGTAATGCCGGGTGCAGAGAGACTCCCGACCGCCTGTCGTTCTCATGTAGCCTGTGCAATCGACCTGAAACAGGCACAGATCAGCATTTTAATCACTCCTGTGTAACGGTGCGTGGTGCAAGAGATATTTCCCCTTCTCCCCATGCTCATGGGGAACAGAGATGTATGGGAACTGAGCTTCCAGCCCGACAGCATGAGGTTGAGGGAGCACAAGTAGGTGAAGTTCTGCCTCTGAGGACATGGCTGCTGGCAGATCCTGCAGTATCTAGTTGTTTTGTTTGTTTGTTTGTTTTGTTTTGTTTTGTTTTTTTTCTCCTGTCCTCAAATGGGCTTCATCAGTATCATCTTGGGGATTTCCACCCTGAACACAGTCACACAGGATCTGTGCCTAATGTGCCTTAGGTGGCAGCAACTTCTGCTGTGAAACGTCTGCCCCACTTGAAAATGGAGTTTAGGCTCACCTCAGTGTTCCTGTAATTACTCTGAGTGTACTGAAATGAAAATTGTAGCATTATGGTAAATTGCTCAGCCGGAGTGTTTCTTTACATTATCTCACTAATCTAAAAATAGAGCCAGTTCTCCACTTTATGGTAGCTCTATATATTGATAAACAAATCTTATGATAGATGTTTTGATAGAATCTTTTTTTTTTTTTTCTGTTACAAATTATCATTTAGTCAAAATCCCGACTTCCTCTGGGAATTTCTGAGTTTCAACAAACTTTTTTTCTAAATCTAAACGGAAATGTTTTGACAATGCTGAAGTGTTATTGAAATCAAAAGCTTCTGTTTTTCCGTCAGGTGTTAGGCATAAGATTACATTTCAAAATTCACAGTTGAAGCAGATTTGCATTTTTCAAAATGGAAATAAAAAAAAAAAGTGAAGATCTGAAATTCTTCATTTTCATAAAAATTTTAGCAGTTTTGAAGTTTTATTTTAGAGTATCTTAGGATATCTTAAGAGTCAATCTTAGCCCTTACCTTTATACATTTTCCGTCATGCTTTTTGTCAATCACTCTGTTACGACTAGGAGAGAGAAGGAAAGGAAGGATTAACCTGTTGATGCCATGTAGTCATCTCACTCATTAAGTCTCTCCACTCGTAAAGCCCCAGTAATTAATCAAACTTAGGAGTTTTGACACGGAAGAGACACAGCCTGACGAGATCCTGCGCACTAGGGAAGACTGAAACTTATGAAAAATCCCGTCCACCCCACGATTAGTCACAATTCAAAAGGCTTTCATCTGCTACCTGAACCGTCATTATGGGCAATCAGGTGATCTTGTACTCACAAGATTTCTCTGCAGAGCGAGCACTCATTGGGGTACGTCACATTATCGGTGCCACAGACCGGCTGGAAGTCCCTGGGACAGGCGAGATTGCTCCTATCCGCCATCCGGTACACGCTGCAGGAGGCCTGTTAAAAAGGACAGATGTGCAGTTTCTCCAAGGGGAGGGAAGGATCTGCTCATGTTCATCATGTTTTCTAAGCACAGGGATGCTACAGGTGGTCATTTTATTATTTTTTTTTCCTCTGTCATTCCTCCATGGTGAAGGGAAAGAACAAAATATATCGTTTCCTACAGTATGCGTAAACACATTTTCACCATTAAGACATTCAGCACTGTAGATGTGCATGACTGACAAAAATGATCACTCCTCAGGGAATCAGGACAGGGAAGATATTTAGGCAGTTATTCAAAAGTTGTATAGGATTCCTGCTGGCCCTCTGTGCCATGCTGGCTCTCACTTTGCATTATTAATTACCATCTTTTATCACCAATCTGATAAGGTGTCTTTCTCTGACAAAGATGTTTTCTTATTTTGGGGGAAAAGAGGTGGTATAATTCTTGGGGGCACTTTTTCTTCTTCCTTCCTGTCTCTCTCCATTTTCTTTTATTCTTCCTCAAGACTCCCCTGGGATACAGCGTGAGTATGAATTATTCATGTACACTTAGAAATCAAGACTAAATGACAGAGAAGATCTACTACTCACCCATCGTTGACCAGAAACAATATCTACAAAAAAATGGAGATTATAAAATATAAGTGTTACAGTGCCCTTGATTAAAATTTCTCTGCATTATTAATTTCCCAACAGAGTAACTAAATACACTTTCTTTCTACTGAGAATTACTTGTTTCGTAAATGTTTTATCCAGTCCAAGTAAACAAGAAGTTATATCCTATGATTAAAAATAATAATAGTAATAATAATCAATTACTGGTGAAAGTACAAGCTTTGACTTGCTAAAGAAGGAATAGGATATAAACTTTTCTCCTTTTGCAGCACTATTATCCCGGCTAAGTCTAATAAGTTTAAATCAGACAGAGGCATCCTACTAGACCTGTAGTAATGTTTGCACAGGGATAAAGTTCATTAAAAGAGAGTTTACTAAAGACAGCATTACTAAATCATCACTTCTTCAGTAAGCTAAGCTCTCTTTTGGATACATATATACATGTATTAAGGCATCCTGAACTATATAGAATTCAAGATGACTAGAGATATAAGGAGAGACTATAATAAAAACAACTTACCAGAAAAGCAGACAAGAAACAGTAGCCCAAGAAGGGCAGCAGCTCTTGTCATCTTCACGGTGGGAAAGGCTGTGTAGTCTGTTACTTACAAATCTGTTGCTGTTGAGTTCTATAGAGATGTTTCTCTGCCTTCATGCTCCAGACTATATAAGTACATCTCCCTGACCTTGTAAAGTCATCCCATAAAGTAATTATCTGCTCTGTAAACTAACAAAACTGTATTGATTATTAAGTTGAGCCCTAAAGAATACTTGTTTGTTAGAGAAATGCCCAGAAGAATTAAACAAAAATGTGAGCTACACCCAGCTTGTTAACAAAGGCGCCCTGCTGTACAATGAGTGATTTGTACTGTCCAAACAAGAGCACTGTCTCAACACTAGATGTTGTGAAATTACATATGGAAGTTGGCAAAGCAAAAAAGCTAATTTGTTGGAAGTGTTTGAACTAGTGCACACCGTGTTACATACACTACGCAGTATTTGGGCTCTGGGAGACTTGCGCAGTACAGCAGAGCGATGAGACGGCAGCGTGGGACACCCTCAGCTTTTACAGAAATAAAATCCGGGGTTTGGCAGGCATCAGTGTCTTTTGAAGATGCTGCACAGTGAACCTCTCCATAGTCTCTTCTGTATTTTCCTGGTACATTGGATCTCTCACTAATGGGATAGAAAGAATCAACACAACAGGAAAACATGACCTAAAACTCCAGAAGTTTGAGACATGTCTATGTACAAGGAAGAATTATTCATCTGTTGACAATCAGCATGAACCTGATTAAGAAACAATGAGAATAACCAGCCTTAAATCTGGACATTGTTTCCTCTTAATGACAAACAAGTGGCATTCTGTGCAGGTGAAATGGTCTTATTACCACAGTCATTCATAAAAAATTGCAGCAACTGAAAACAGAAGGTGAGTCCATACATTCCCCCCCCTTCTCTTCTCTTTACATGGCATTAAATAGAGAGTGTCATCTTCCCTAAAACATGACATTCAGCTAAGTGAAGAATAAAGGTTCTATTGAAGGTTTTTTTCAACTCTGTCATAGATTTATGACAAAACAAATATTGCATAAAATACTTCTTGAGTTGAATATAGTCAGTCACGAAAGGAAGTGAGGGACAGGACACATTTGTGTTTTAGAAGCCTGATACATGCACGTGGCTTAAAAGCAGCCTGGGTTTTAAATAGAAAATCAGAATTGTTTTTCTTATTATCCTGGGAGATGTTCAAGTCTTGGCATGGGCACATAAAATCATAAAAATGTAGCTGAAAGTGCAAGGGAACCGCAATCACAAAATAGAGCTTGCAGGCTTTGGCCTGTTCGTGTCAATGAAATCATTTTCCTGAAAAATAAATGAGTAATGTTCTTTGGATCTCATTCACAAATATCAAGAGTTGAAGGGTTCATTTAAAAGCTGTTTCTGTTGTATTCTTAGCATCCTGAGTGACGTGACTGTCAAATTTCTTGAACTGATCATAAGCATATTTGGAAGGCAAGCAGTAATCACAGAAGCATTAATATTGATTTTTCTCTAGGGAAAAGAACGCCTAAGCTGAAAATGTTTCCTCAGAATCCGTACCAGCCGTCAGAGGAGATAGCACCTGCTGGCTCTGCAGTGCTTGGTGAGGCTGCAGGAACGCAGGCTCTTCAGCCCTACAACCCCAGACCCTGCGCCACATCTAGGTCTGAAAGCCCTAAATTACCAAAAACCATGCTGTTCCTCTGGTTTCCTCTTCCTTCAGCCTGAAGCAAGAAACCATGCTGACCTCTCAGGGCTTTTTTATATGGCGGGGAATGGTGTCATTCTCTCGTGTGGCAGCACCTGTCCTTTGACTAACAAGCTCCACCTGGGAGACCCCCTTGCTGCTTCTGAGCATCTGAGTAGGCAGATAGGACAGTGCTGGAACTGCTCCTGTCCCCTCTTCCTCCAGCGATCTGTGCGAGGATTGAGTCTTGCTACAGGGTCGATGAGAAAGGATGGGAGCTAATTGGCAGCAGCCAGGGCAGGGCAGCAGGAGCTGCGGGGTGAGGTGTGACATGGGATTGCACAAGGAGCTCGATTAATAAGAAACAGAAGGGAATGGGACAGAAGTAATTGCCGAGCAGCAGATGGGGTGACACAGGCATTAGGAACAGTGAAAAACAACTGTCTCAATACATTTGGAGGAGGGAGCTTCGGGAAATGTCATACACATGTTGCAAATGGGAAGAGGAGAGTGAAGTCACCTGTCAAAATCCCTGTGGGATATGCAAGTCCCGTGATGGTGGGTTCAATAAAGTGAGTTTGAGTATAGGATTATTTTTAGGCTCTTTTTTTTTTTTTTTTTCCCTACAGATATGAGACCCACAGAAAAGGTTAAATAAAACACTTCCTGCTATTTCAAGTTCTTAGATGGTAAAGGTTATTAAAGAGGGTTGTGGCCACATGAATGGGATAAACACTGGTAGTTACGTGATGCATCCCCTTGTGTTACGGTAAATTTCCAACAATTCTGTAAATTCTACCCAACTTCTAGTACAAAATGATGTCATCCCATAACACTGATATTTCCCAGGAATTTTTTCCTCTGGTCTTGAGATTCCCTACTGCAAACAAGTCCATAATCTACCATGACCTGAAAAAAAAGCTTCATTAAATTTCCCCGCTTCAATTTAAAACTTGTCACAGGCTTCACTTGTCTACAAAAAGAAATAATATTTTTCAATTTGGGAAAAAAAAAAAAAAAAAAGAGAGAAAAAAAAAAAAGAGAGGAAAAAAAAAAAAAAAGCTGGATGTGTGGAGGCGAGCGCTCTGCAGTCCCAAATGCAGAACTGCTGCAGGCCGAATGTAAAGCGCAGTGATCGCACCCACTGCTGCTGTGCCCCACGCAGGATGTACCAAAACAGAGTGCTATTACCGGAGCTGTGCACACGGGGGCAGGACTACATCTCCTATGAGGACGGGAATTCAATTTTGGAGCAAGCAAAGCCCCTGCTCTCAGCCGCACTCTTGTAATATTTCTCCTCGCAGCTCAGCTATCTGATTGCTGCCTGCATATCTCCTGCCGTTTAAGCACAGATGATATCACAGGCAGGAAGGGTGTCTGGAATAATTTGTCTGTCTGGGAGCCGCACGCTTACAGCAGGGCGCTGAGGATCCAGCCCCTCGCATCCAAATCCCTCAGTGCGTCCCAGCTCGGTCTCGCTGCAGCAGCTCTGACACAGCCAACCCCCAGACAGCATCACCAAGCAATTTTCTTTCAAAACATTTTATTTTTCCCCACATTGAGGAAGAACATAGTAAGAAACCGTTTATGCTGATGAAGCCTTGCAGAAAAACTGCGTTATGAGCGAGGTCTAGACTGGCCTGAGGTGTGTTTTGGTCAGTAACAAGTAGGATAATACACTAAAAGAGAAGTGTTGATATAAAATAGAGCAGAACCAAATAACTAAATGCAACGTGTTAATCAGTTTCTAGGGTAATTGAATGGCATTTCCTAAATTCACAAACATCAAATAATGGCACAGAGGGCTGAGGTACCACTCAAAGAATTGTACCATAAAACACCTCTGCAGGCAGACAATGTTTCCTGCCTTGAATTTCCTGGAGGGAGAGTTAGATTAGTAATGGTGAGAGGATATTGTGTTGTTGTGGCAGGATTTTATTGAGCAGCAACAAAAAAATCATTTTCAACAGTGCTCATGGAAGAGTCTCATCTTGCTTGCTGTCCTGCAGAGCTGCCCATGGTGCGGAGGGTCAGGGATGATGCTGGGGTCCTGCTCTGCCCCCTGCCACCTCCTCAGAAGTGCTGCATGCTGGCGCTCAGTGTCAGGATGGAGGATTTGTCCCCGTTAATTTCTGCTCACAGTTTCCCCTCAATTGCCTAGGTTTTCCTGCTTAGTGGGCATGGCCCCTGGAAGATGCTCTCTGAAGACCACTGGGATCCAGAGAGCAGCTGGGAGCTCCACTTGGCACTGAGAAAGCATAGCTTCTCGGGGGCCCTCTTCATCTTCATCTTCCTCCTCCTCCTCCTCTCTGCTGCTCTCTGGGAAGGATGACAAGCAATGAGGCTGATGACCTCTTACCTGACTGCCTTGCACAGCAGAGGGGACAAGCAGGAGCACAGTGCCTGCCACACACACCCCCAGCACTGCCACCACACTTTGTCACGGTCCTCAGCATTGCCCTTGGTCCCGAAATGCCTCCCCACACCCAGACATCCCACCCCCAGGAGGGACATCCCAGCCCCAGGAAGGGGCTTGGTGCTGAGTGGTTGCGCACACTCACATCTTCTGGAAATAAATAGTCTCCCTCCAGAGAGCCGCTCTCTCTGGTCTCTGGAAAGTGGCACGTTGTCACTTAAGATCATTAACTATTTGGCTGTGAGACGGCTGCCTGTACAGCCCGCTGCACTGCCGGCACTTCACTGGTAATGAATAATAAATTAACGCTATGACTCTGAGCCCTTCCTTTCATCAGCCAAGATTTCCAGAGGCCCAAGAATCTCAAAGGATCCTCTACAAGTGGCAGCTGACGCAATTACCTACAGGCAGCAGCTAAGTGGTGGGTGAGGTGCCGAAACGGGCTGCGGAAGCTCCTGCTCACAGTCCTCTGAACATCACCCGCACCCCGATGAGTGTCACGAGCACAAATGCAGGCAGGCAGGTGCCCCCTGCCTGGGGAAACATCCCGTCCTGCTGCCTGGGGAGGCACAGAAAGTGACTGCTAAAAGACTTCAGCCACCTGCAGGTGTGTTTGCTACCCCACTTCCACGGGGGGAGATGCAGCTGGGAAGTGCCCTTCTTCGCCACCTCTCTCCTCACCTGCTAGGGAGGCAGCGAGTGTCTGTTTGGGATGCCCTTAGCAGGATAAATCCACTGGAGCATTGCACCAGGTTGCATCCCCAGCTCTGGTTCTCTTTAGGAAATCTGGGTGAAGGCCCTCAGAGAAACTCATTGCCTTCGGAGATGGAGCTGATTTCTTTGTAGATCAGACAATGCATTCTCTCTCCCTGTAATTTACCCATTAGTACCCACACCCCAGGACTGTTGCAGTGAAATAATCACAAAACATCTTAAGAAAAAAACAAAAAACATCATGAGACATATCATTAAAACAAGACGTAAATGCTGAAGGGTTGTTGTTGTTTGTTTATTTGTTTTATTGGGTTGAGTTTCATTTCAGGCTTTATCAGGAGCTCTCAAAGTTCAGGATGAGGTTTTAGGGCAGCCTCTGCCATAGGGAATATTGCCAGGGAGGAGTCTCCTGTCTGAGCTGGAGCCTGTTGAGGTGTTAGCACTCTCGAAGGTACAGCAACCTGAGAGTCCGACGGCTTCTCCTGCAGAGAAAGGAAGCAATACCTTAGAGACAGAACATCTGCACTTCTGCTGTTCATCCCCCCCACTGGTAAAGGATACATCACAGAGGAACTTAACCAAATCTGAACATTCTCAAAGCTATTCCAGCTCTTTCCTCTTATTGCTAACATTCAAAGACAAGATAAAGACTTAATTTAAAAGAAGAACAAATAGTCTGTAGGAAATAGATTTTATTTGCTGCAAGAGAGCTCTTCAGCAAATTACTTAACAGGGAAATGAAGATCTGTGCTAAATGTTACTTATGTTACTTCTATATACCTGAAAGAAGGAAATTCTTGGCAAATTCTCCCACCAATAAATAAATAAATAAATAGATAGATAAATAAATAAAAAGAATAATACTCTTGCTAGTAGGAGAACAGGAAAACACAAAATAAAACAACTTTACTTCTCCAACCAGTCCCCAAGACTGATTAGTTAGGTTAAGCTCAGTTGGTTCACCATTTAGTTAGTGAAGAGATTTATTTTCATACATACAGAAATGCATTGCAGAATAAACATTTGTTGGCATATGTTACACCATCAGACCCGCAGTGTGGGATGTACTCCAGCGTGCAGAAATTGCGGGGTACGACGTAGTTACTGCAGTAGCCCTGTAGATAGATGCAGTGTTGTGTTCACAAAAATGCCCTCAACAGCAGATACGTAGGAAGGGTGATGTTATGAGACACCCCCACCGCCCCTGGGCTTCCCCCAGTACTGTCCATCAGCAGATGTCAAAAAAAAAAAAGCCTAGGGACAGGGCAGGAACAGGGTGGTTTGTTCCTGCTGTGCCCTTTCAGTCTCTGCCGATGTAAAGCCTGTGTAAATATCATAAATGCTGCTGCAGTAACCGTGACAATAACTTGGATGCCAACAGAATACTGCACTATTTTTTTTATTTTTTTTATTTTGAAACTATCAGATGAAAATGGCAATTTCACCCAGTAATATCTGTGGCAAATATTGTTCAGACAGCTGGATGACTCAGGATTTTCAAATGCTCGATCACAATGCGATTAGTAATGATTTATATGGAAACTGCTTTCAGGAAAGAAATGATGGAAGAAAAGTAGACAGCTCTGCCCCTTACCTTCAGTGCAACGGTATCTGGAAAAAAGAAAAAAGAAGTTGAAGTATGACACGAATGCAATTCATCTCTTCTGTTAGTGTTGAAAGCTTTGACTGCATGTCCTGAATAAACAACTTTCAATTCAGTGGTTATTAGCAAGTGACTCTTAGACAAAAGGAATTTCAGGCAAAATTTTGTGCCATATTGGATGTTTACCACATTGGTGCTGTACTGTAATTTTTTTCAGGAGGGTTACAGCCCAGATGGAAAAGGGTATACGAAATGAAAGAAAAGAGAAAGTCATTTTCCATGATTCACAGGATGAACAAGGATATGTACTCAAAGACAAGCACATTATTGAGGAAAACAGGGCCATAAAGCTGGCAGGTACATGGAGGCAGCTTCTTATATGTATTTCCATAATACTGCTTAAATAACAGGAGTACTTAGTGAGGTGTAACTCCTCTAAAGCTTCTACAACTGCTCAGGCTCTCTAACTGTGCCTCAGTTCAGGATGACTGCAAGAAACACTCACTGCCATTCAGGAAAATAATTTGTGATTCGGCAACGTTTCAGAGGTTAAACACTGGATGTCTGAGTCGCCGGGTGGTACCACGTACATGTCACCTCCTTCATTATGCATAAACTAGCACCGAGCGCGGAGCTGTTCCCACAGTTGTTCTTACCCACTCAGTTCTGTTGCTAAAATATTACCCCCTAAGTGATAGTCTTTGATGTCAAGTCTTTTCAACACCATCTCTCTAGGAGTAAATAAGTCCTTGTAGAATGAAGCTCCTTCCAGTCTGAGGATGTTTTTGTGTTTTTAAAGGCAGCCAGCACTTAGTGAAGCACAGAGCAGGAGGCAGCAAACCACTCACCTGGGCAGCAGCAAAGGGCGAGAGCCAGCAGCACCACCACGCCTGCCGTCCTCATGGTGGCTGGGGTGTCTGTCCACCTTTTCCTCAGTGAATGCAGCCCTAATGCTGCCCTCAGATCGTAATCATGCACATACGTGTGTGTGTGCGTGCGTTCGCATCTCTCTTATCCACCCTTATTCTGAAATAACATTCCTGGTCTGTTGTCAGAGTGGTAAATCTTGATGATGCCTAGCAGAGGTAAGCCATGCTGTAAGCCATAAAGAATGCTTCTTTATCAACAGGAATCACAAGAAGTTTAAATACGTTAGATACGCCCTCTGTGTCATTATTTGAAGTGAAATATATGACAGGTGCTTTCTGAAGGACCATGGAAAATTCCTGTGGGCAGAAGAACAACTGTACAAACCTAAAGAGAGAATGCTGACAGATTTCCTCTATGTGCATGTTATCAGTGCTACACACAGGGCTTTCTCATGAACAAAATTTTGTTGATCTGAAATGAACGGCTTCCAGAAAGAAAGGTCTTTTATTTTCATGCCTCATCCCATAAAGCATCATTAAACTGCAGTAAATCCAGGAAAACTGTGAACTGGGAGGTCAAGCAAGAGGGTGTCCCAGACACTGAAAGGAGTCCTTGGACTATAGAAGCACATGAGAAACTTTTACAGGCATCTGCAAATAAGTAACAATTGCTATTTTCCCTAAAAACCATTAGCATCGTTTAGATTTGCAGCAGCAGACTGATAGCCTGATGATGACAGAACAAAGCCTGTAGCCTGGATCCCACAAAATCCAGACTGGAAATCTCTGCTTCATCCATCTGCCCATCTCAACATAAATCCTTTGTTTTACCACCAAAGCATCCTTTTTTTTAAATGACTTCATTCCACCAAGGAAAAAGAACACTTAAGGGAGACATTATTCTTTAGAAGGGATATGCCCAATTTATTTATGTTTCGCTTGTGTGGATCAAAAACCCACCAATTCAATACACAAACAAAGGACAAAAGCAAAATAATTTTCACAGACAATGCACCAATGACAGAGGTCACACTCTTAAAACCAGAAGTATACTTTGTCCTTGGACTGCAAAAACTTCTTGGACTCACAAGGAGCATGATGCTATTAAGAACTAAGAGAGAAGGCAAGCAGACAGGAGTAGGAACAAGCTTTAAAAAGGTATTTATTTTAAAATATGTGGAATAAAATCCCAAGATGAGGGAAAATCTAGAAACATGTCATTTGGAGGTCCCAGAAAAACAGGCATGGCCCACTCATATGGCTGAAAAATACGGGCTTTGCTATGCCTTTAGGTAAGGGCTGTGCTCAGGAGGCCAGGCAGCAGCTCTGGGCTTGCTCATCACCAGGCTGAACTGCTTTGCTGATGGTGCCTGCATGGGGAAAGTGCACTAGAAATACCTTAGTAGAGATCTGCTAGCCTCACCAGTTCAGAGCATTATTTCAACTGTCTAAAAGGGTCTGAACACTAATGTAGTCTGAGTATCATTTATGTACAAAGTCACACAGCTGAGGTTTATGCATCTGTACTTAATTTTCTGCCTTTTATGACAGTGAGGGGAGCAAGATGTTGTTCTTGTTATATCCCAGAGCTATGAGCATGGAACAGATTCAGCCTGGCATCATCATTCAACAAATCAGAAGAAAACGTTGCATGAGGCAGAGCATTAAACAAGACAAAGAAATGTTGCTGATTTAGTTTATTGAGAAAGAAAATCAGGAGTGAGCTGAGTTCCCCAGAGAGCGAGATGAACTGAGGTGAGATCTCTAGCTGGGATTTGCCAGTGGGGATCCTGTGGTGAATTCTCTCAGCACTGATATTCAGCATTCTCCAAAATGGCTTAAAGTGAGAGTCCCATTGCTGTCCCTGAAAGTGAGGAGAGAGAAAAATGGATTAGACACGGAGCCCTGCGTGCTGTAATCTGTTCTTTCACTTGGTTTCTAGAGAAGACATTAGGATCCTGCCCTGAGCCAAAAACTGGGGGACTCGGAGTCTCATTAGCTATTTGATTATGAAGAAGTGAGTGAAATCATTTAACCCATTCAGAAAAATATTGGGGGGAACTGTAACAAAACTCCAAATTTAATTTTCTTTGCAATAAGCAAGAAAAACACCATTCAGGTTAATTGTCTTCAAACCCTCCATACTAATAAACCAGACATAGCTCTTTGGACTCTGACGAAAAAACAAAACAAAACAAAAAACACAAACGAGTGGTTGGTACAATGCCTGCTATTCTTTTCTGCCCCGAATGCCTGGTCAGCAGAGAAAGCAGAAACCGTGCAAATTTGTGCCTGTAGGAGGCAGCCGACAACGCGAACGCGCCCCGCGGTTGTTGCACTTACACGACTGCATTGCAGAAGTTGCACTTGTTGCCGTACGTTTTGTTGTCGGAGCCACAGAGAGGCATGTATTCCATCGTGCAGGCAGGTTTAGGGTAGCCGCTGCAGTCAACCTGCAGAACAAGAAGCCTTAATGCAAAGGGTGGGAAGTGGTCGATAGCAGAAGGGCTTGAACCCCTAACTGCGGCTGCAGTGCTAACGATAGTGATCTAACTAAAAATAATTAACTTCCTTGCATGATCTGATATCGACTGAGGTGTGATTCTCCTATGCCAGAATTTAATAATATAAAAATAGAGCATAATTTCCTGTTTAAGAGATGTATATCACAGCCTGGCTGCTGCATTTCCAAGCTGCAGCAGCAGCTCACTCACTGAACGTGCCGTGCTTACAGTCACATTGCACCATGTTCCCGACCTGGCCAGGAAATTAAATGGAAAAACGCTGGTGTCTGGAGAAGAGACAGCACTGATACCTGTATAATGGTCCCATATCTCTCCCATAGGCTTAAAATATCAGCACTTAGCTAGATGCCATGGAAGTGGGATTTTGTTTCTTTGTGAAATGGGTACTGCACTTGCTGAGGGGCATTGTAGTACAGGGGAAAAAAAAAAAAAAAGTATATGGTTACAGGAAGAGGCTGGAGAATTTCATGGGAGAGAAAACCATTGAGGCTCACTGACTCCACAGAAATCACACCTAGCTGAGTTCCATCACCTGAAAATAGCTGGAGGTTGGAATAGTGTTCAGGAAGACCTGTATTTACTCACCCTACTTTTACTCTCTCCCGACACAGTCCTTATGGCCCCTAAGAGTGAGCTCTGCATCAAGCCACCATGGGCTTGATGGCCCACTGGTCTGACCCCAGTGATGGCCCTCTGTTCTTACTCTCAGTTCTGCCTTGATGGATTATTTCTGCTGATGATCTTTTACCAATCCTTTCCTGTGCATTCACCCTCTTCTTTTTCTGACATTATCCACATTAATGTGGATTACATGTGCAGAAGGCAAAATCTTCCCTGTGCTGAAGCCCAAGTGATGCTCCTGATGCTGTTACAAACACTGTCTGTGCTTCCACTGAAATCAGTAGGACCAGAAGCTAACCCTTCATTAGGCAGCTCACACTTACTGTAGCAACTTCCTTCTTACATTTGCCATCATACTTCTTGCCAACGCTGGTCCCTTGCTCTCTAGGAAGAAAAAGATTGATGTTAGGGAACTCCGCCTGCATCCTGCTGTGCCACACTCCATGTCCCAGCAATGCTGATCAGCCACAGGTACAGGAGATGTCCAGCTTCAGCTGCTCACAGTGCCTGAGACACCAGCCCTGGAAGCACCCCTGCCTCTGAGCACACTCAGGGCTGGCCTCCAGGGGAGGCTGCCTTCAGCCACCCCCCAGGGGACTTGGCCTGGGTTCCCCTCCCAGACACAGGATGGTACCCAATGGTCTCAAGTGCTATTGACTGGGCACAGAAGAGGCCTCGATAGAAATCCCATACCAGCCTCATGGTTGCCTCCCCAGGCAGCTCTCACCCACAGTACTCACACGTTGTGGGCACACAGCATGCACTCGTTGTCGTAGGTGACCCCGTCAGTGCCACAGACAGGGCTGAACATCTTGTTGCAGAGTAACGTCATTTTGCCTTCCTCGTTTGTCATGTTGGGATACATGCTGCAGTCAGCCTGTTGAGGGAACATGCGACAAAGCACTGGTGAGGGCTTGCTTGCAGGAAGCAAGTAGACCCGGAGAGTACATGCATCATTTGGCCTTCTGGGATGTCACCACAGCAGGAAAAAAAATCTTTTTTTGGGGGGTGTCATTATGATGAAAGTTCACCTGAGGATGACCAATACAAAATTCTGACATATCTTATGCTCTTATCTAGTGTTTGAATTATTTATTAGGCAAATCAATACACAGCTTTGGCTGCACAGCAAATAAGCCTGCCCCTTGCTTTGCCATTGGTTTCACTTACAGGGACAGCTTCCTTGCATTCTCCATCATGGTCTTTGCTGATATTGGTTCCATATTCTCTGCAGATGGGAAAAAAACAAATATTAGGAAGTCCAGCAAAGACTTCTTGGTGCACCCTAGGTGCTGGGAATAAGTACCTAAGACACGGGAGGGAGGGGAGGACTGACTCTTTGCAATTTATCTGTGTATATACGTATTTGAGAAGGTAGTGCCATCCTCCCTGACCAGCTGGCACTGAGTGGCTGGCAGGAACATAAAGACCCTGAGACCTTTAGAATCATTTTGGATGGTTCAGAGTCGATCATCTCTCCATCTTTTTGCTCCTTCTTGCTGGGATGAGATGTGCCCTAGGGGCTGTCATCTGGCTCATCCTCGAGATGGAGAAGAAAAGCCTGAATAAATTACACCAGCAAAAGAGACACAGTAACTAAAGTGATGTCTAGGCAACGGAGTGTCACGCAGTGCTACCCAAGCTCATTCCGAAGGAATTGACATAAGTGACACATGACAGATCACTGTTTGTTGGGAGGGGTTGCTGCCAGGAGCCCCAAGCACCGCTGTCTGCTTGCAGGATGAGCTCCCCTACGCAGTACGCACATGTTGTAGGCACACAGCAGGCACTCGTTGCTGTACGTGACTCCATCGGTGCCACAAACGGGGCTGAGTTCCTTGGTGCAGAGCAACACCTCTTTGCCTTCCTCATTCGTAGTGTTGGGAAACCTACTGCAGTCCACCTGTCAAAGGAACGCACAGCAAGAGGATGGAGAAGGCGTTTTATGATTATCTCTTATTTTGCATGTGGCAGTGACCGGACCCAACCTCCCCACAGTGGGTTTTTCACTGCCACAGCACAAACATGTATTGGTGTCTTTCTAGGAACAGGCAAATCCTTCCTGCCAAGATCTCTCCATGCAGAGAGGGAAGAGGAGGAGGAGCAGGAAGGGAGGGTTACAGCAACGCAGCCCCCCACAGGGATAAACCAGCAGGGATCTCTTATGCTTTCTAGGCATCATTTTGCACAGGCTGAGCATGGGTCCCTCACTCTCACGTTCTCATGGCCCCTCCAGTGCATTTCCATTAATACTCTTTCTTTCTCAACACACATGGACAGTTTTAATCAAAGGAACAAGTCTAAAGACCTGGCGTTTGGAAGCTGGAAAGTCTCACAGTATTTTGTTCTTTCAGTAAGTTGTTTTGGGGTAGTTTCTGGTACCATAGTCTATTGCCATCAGTTTAGAACCAGTCACATATGACCAGCTTTAAGCTTAGACCAGTTTAGAGTTTGTCAGAAATGAATTAATCCAACAATTTTATATTACTACTGCATTATTAACATACAGCATAGATGTAGAGCGCAGAACAGCATAATTTAATATTTTACACTGAAGGATCTGATTATAGCAACACTAATTAAGTAAGAAAGGAAGGGAAAAAAAAGAAAAAAATCTCCTACTCACCTCAACCCCAAAGGCAGCATCTAGGAAAAAAAGAACAGAGGAAAAAAAAGTGAAACAAAGCCAATGTGATCAATAATATCTCAGTTAATTGGAAACCTAGATGTAAAATTCCAACACAGAGGACCAAACTGAATGATTTCCACTGACTGGTTTCCTGAAGTAAGTAAACCATGTATGACTTTTTTTAAAATGGTGATAAGTATAATTGTTTCTTATTGCTGGCTGATTAAATGTGTTTTTGAATGGCTTTGTTCTTTTTTTTTTTCCCTTTTCTTTTAAAGAGATTGGTAGACTTATTAATTGAAAAAAGAATAGCTTTTCCTTCCTTATCTTTTTACATATCCGTTCTGACCCTAGAAAACAGCTATTGCATATCTGAAAAGAAACCTGAATCAATACAGATAAATGCAAATGCAAATAGTCACGTACAGGATAAGCAAACATATACAGCATCTGTTGTCAGGGATATACAATCTAAAGAAGCTGAGTGTTAAAAAAAATAACACTTGTCTTTGATTTTGTAATTTCATGAGATGTAAATACATAAGGAGAACATCAGACTCAGGCTTGTTTGCATCTCTTGTTTCTCCATTAGCAGCAAAAGCATTGCAGGAAAGCTGCCAGGTTTCTATACAGAACTTGCCTGTACCATTACAATATTTTTGTGACTAGTCGCTGGAGGTCTGACCACCTCATTGCAGCCGTGTTTCAAGCATTTACCCACTCTCTGTAATTGTACAACAAGTGTAAGCACTGTAACAGTGCCAAGAGTGCAAAACGTGTAACAACACCTGTTAGGAGCACAGAGCTCCAGACACCCAGCTACAACATTTAACACCATCACGAAATCTACTCCTGCATCCTGTGAGATGCCAGTGCAGGGAGGCAGCCTGGCGCTTTTTGGGAGAGCCTCTATTAGATGGCTACTACCTTATTCTCTTTGGGATAGCCAGGACACTCAGGTACAAAGCCTCTGTAACACCCTGAGGGTTACTCACCTGGGAAGCAGCAAAGCACTAAAGACAACAGCACAAAGACGCCTGCCATGGTCGTGGTGAACGTACTGCCTGAGTCCACAGGCTGCCCGCTGGTGCTCTGCTTCTGAGATGGTCTCTCCAAGGCGGGCAGCAAATATATACAAACGCAGTGTCTAAACTGTTCAGCTGTAACACGAAGCAACCAGCTGAATCTGTCACTGGTACAATGAGGCCAGTAATATTTATTGAGGTCTTGACCTCCAGGTAATGGTCTGCGTCTCCTAGGCAATTGATTTTGGCTGGACATTCGGTTAATAGCTTGAGACAAGTGTCACATGCTCTCATTGGTCAAAACCAAACAAACAGCCTTTTAGATGAAAAAAAAAATAATCTTTAAGACTGCAGTAGAAACCTAAGTAGCACAAAATATTAAGGAGAGCAAGCTGCAGTTCTTCCATTCATTTCTGCAGTGACATCTCCCAGCAGGGAGCAGCGGAGGCTCAGGACCACCGCATCTGCAGCTCAGGCTACGAAGAAGCTCTGCTTCCTACTCAGTATCGGAGGGCCAGCATGAATTTCTGCATTCCTCGATGTTCACCACTAGGTATGAACACAGGTCAGCGAGGCTTTGCCATCAGCAGAACTGATTAAGTATTGCCAGGTGAGGCTGGCAGGACCACATCTATCCTGCGAAGTTAATGGTATTTAACATTGATTTGATAATGGAAAGAGCTTGGCAGTTTCACCACCTAGGAATAGAAGAGCTCAGTAGAAGACTTGAAAGCGGGTTAAATTCTGTGAAACACCACTAAAAATGTCACTTGAACCTTATCAGCAGGGAGCACTTATTTACAGACCTAGTCACAGTTAAATGAATTGATTCAAAGTGTTCTGCCAAGCCATCTTAAGAACAAACGACTCTGAAGTTTGGGGAACTTATTTACATTAGGGCACCAGCTATGCCTGAAAGTACAGCAGATCCTTTCCCTCTACAGACATTTCAGAAAGTAATACTAAAAACATAGAGCCTGTCACAGTTTTTCTGTCTGTCTCGCATGTCCAGCCTTCACACCACCTTTTTTCAAGTGGCTCCTTCCTGGGAGGAGCTCTGGACCCCTGCTGATTTAGCAGGCTTAGTTTTGCAGCCCTCAACCTCAACTTTCTCACCATGCTTCCTTTGACAGGTCCAAAACGGCAAGGACACCTGTAGTATTTTGCCACGGGGACTTCAGCATCGTGGGAGATGCAGAGCAAGAGATGCTTTATGGGTGCTCCCTTGAACAAACAAGGCAGCACCCATTAATCAGCCAAAATTCAGCTGAAATCACTGAAAGCAAGCCCAAGGAACCGTGTTGGTGTCTGATGCATTGCAGTAGTCTAAAAGGTATGATTTGATGTTTAAATGTACAAATCACAGTATAGTGCATGCAATCATGTATACTGGGCACTGGCACGTTAAGGATGCCGCAGCACGGATGTGTGAATATATAGATTACATTTCAACATGAAAAGATGGGTTTCCTTAGAGGGAGAAGCATTACATTTTTTTTTCCTGCTGGGCTTGCTTCTATAAATTACAGGAAGCATGCATGAATATTTCAGAGAGATTTGGCACATCTTCAAGATATATTGTCCTTATGTGTCTTGTGGAATACGTCTCTGGAAACCAGAGACTTCTCCCCTTAGCACCTAGAGGAGCATGCCAGGGCTCCTGTTGCTCGTTGCCTGCATAAGCTGATGGTTGCACAGCTGAGGGTTCACCTTTCTGTGCCAAATACGAGTTTTGGCACTGCCTTCTTGAGCAATGCAGTGAGACCACCGTGAGCTGTCCTCACCATCCTTCCTAGCCAGACCTGGCAGCTTCCAGCAGGTTGCCTCATGCCCATGCAGTGCTGTGCTGTGCTCCATCCTGCTCCCTGCCCCAGACAGGCTGCTCCCCAAGGCAGGACCGACCTCTCTCCCAATGGGTGGAGAGCACCTTCCTGCCAAAGGCTGCCGTACATTGCCTGCACACACCACAGAAAAATTTTCCACTGCAAGTGCCCCAGGCTCAGGGCTGGATCTGGCTCTTCCTGGCCCTGAGCCACCAGCAGGTTTCCTCAGCCCACAGCAATGCCCGTCTGTTTCTCAGCAGATTAATTCCCTCCCTGGCTCACCACGCAGCCCACAGACACACCAGGGAGACTGAAATCTACTGAATTAAGGCTGACTGGGGAGCACTGCTCTCTCTTGAGCCGCTCAGGTACAAGGCACAACAACAGCACCCAGAAACCACGCGCTATCAGCACGTGGAGCAGACTCACAGCCAACATCCGCAGCCTCCCCATCCAGGGCTGCAGCTCCAGCTTGTCCTGCCTTTGGTAAGAGCATGGAAAAAACCCACACTGGTTAAGCTCATTCTGTAGCATGGGTTGTTCATAGCTACCCCCGAAAATACAGACAGAAAGGATTTCATCTGCAATCCTGCCACTAATCTTGTGCTGCAGTCCACTGAATTATGGTCTTTTAGTCCTCAAAGTCAGGTACAGCATATGGCTAATGGCTGTTTGGCTAAAGGGAAATTCTTAGGTGTGCAGAAGCCATCACAAGGGCAGAGAACTGTAAGTAAGTAAAGAGAGGGTTACATTTTAAGGCCATGAGCTCCAGAGGATCAGCAGATGGCAGGATCTGGCCATTATGCAACATCCTCTCCCTTCTACGCAAGGAATTCTTTGTTTTACATTTCCCATTATACTTTCTTATTAACATTGATGTCATATTCTCTGGAAGGCTCTAACTGAAGTTAGGGCATTTTCTCAGCAATTATGTGACCCCTCAGTGCAAGTAATACGGTAATAGATGAATGACAAATGATTTAACTACACTTTTCTAAATATTCATGGGTTCTGTCACATTATTTTCATCAACAATCCATTGCAAAAAGTAGAAATAACAATGATTAGTTGTAGCTGTTTCATGAACTTGTCTCTAACCACTCCAAAATGTCCGCTAAATACAACTCAAACTGCAGTTTCCATCTTTGTCTTTCTTTTGGCCACAGAGTGGCCAATAACTGTTTGAACTGAGCCACATGTCTGGAGAAATCAATGCAGAACAAATGGAAGATCTGTCTCTCACCTAGTGCCTGAAGGTGCTGTTTGAGCAAACCAATAAAGCAAATAAAATCACTGATATGATTAAAACATATCACTATGAAAACATATTCATGTGATTAAGAACTTACTAAACAGAGTTTGATTCAGGTAACACCACTGAATGTTTTCCTGAACTAAGAGGACCCTGGGCAGAACTTTGTACCCTGCAGATGAAGGCTAACATGGTTTCACATTACTTATGTGATGAATTAAGTGTACCGGGCCCCACTGCGAGGACAGCTGTTGACAAGTGGGAACACAGCCAGCAGAGGCCACCAGGCTGGTCAGGGGCTGGAGCACACGGGACATGAAGGGGAGGCTGGAGGAGCCGGTTTTCTTCAGCACAGAGAAAAGGGGGCTGTGGGGATCTCATTGCTATCTGCAGCTCCCTAACAGGGTTACAGAGAAGATGGAGCCAGTCTCCTCAAAGCTGCCCAGAAGAACGACAGCATTCTAACTGAATACAAGGAAACATCCTTCACCACGAGGGTGGTCAAGCAGTGGTGTAGGAAACAGACAGGAGTCTCCTACTTCAGTGATATTCAAGCCACGACTGATCAAGGAAGGTCTTGAGCATCCTGAGCTGACTTTGACCCTGCTTTGAGCAGGGGTCAGGCTAGAGAACTCCAGAGAACCTTTTCAACCTGAATGATTTTATGTGTACGATACTTAAACAAGTGTTCTCTCCTGTGGGTGACTTTTGTTAATGAAGGAACATAAAATTTCTCCCTGGCCCAGGAGAGCAGCCTCAGAGCTTTCCTACAATTTTTGCTAAAGGCCACGTATAAGAGATACAAAGAGCTCCCAGTGTATTTTTATGGGGAATGGCCAGAAATAGTGTGCACATCAAAAAGAGCAGGTTACAATATTTGTTAAAAAGCAAACAAACAAACCTCATAAAATTACTCAAATTTAAGAATGTTATTAGTTCCCAATGATTCCAAAGTCTCTCTACTGCTGCTATAGCCCAGACCCCCCGCCATCACATTTCTGCAGCGGAGCATCAGCCTTCAAACCTACAGAAAAATTATCTGCACCAAAAAAAAAAAAAAAATCATTTGCCAAAATAGCAACTCCTTTGCTGCAGTGCTGCAGCCTGGTGCAGACACAGATCTCAGCACCACCAGCTCTGAGGACATACCTTTATTCCCCGCCAGCTCGTGCTACGCTCCAGCTCTGGGCAGGTTTCTGGATGGCGAGGACAGCAGGTCAGGGCTCCATGCCCCTGGGCAAGTGTTACTTGTGTGAATGGAGGCAAAACACTAGAAAAAGCAGCAGAAAAGGAAGGCAATAAGCAGCAGGACATTTGGCTCGACAATGGCTCAGGCTGTTACTCTTTGGAGCAAATATACTACAGGGAAGGTAGCTTGGAGGTAATGCAGGAGATGTTATCCTGCAGCTGGCCAGAGGAAGTGGAAATCATCGGTTTAATCAGTTTTCGTGACACTTCAGTGATCTCAGCTGTGCACTGCTGAGTGCTTCGTTTCGCCACAGCCCAAGCAGTAACGCAGAGGAGGCAGCTGGGGGGAACAGCAGCCAGCCTGGGAGTGGTGCTGCCCACCAGGAGACAGCCAGCGTGGCAGCTTCACTGTATGGGCTGTAAAAGTCTCTTTCAGGAGCTGGGGTTTGGGAAATTTTTTTCCAACGATTATAAAAAAAATAATAAAATTGATTCTTATCTGCATGGAGATGTTATTTATAGCTCAATGCGTAGTTAAAGTAGAGTGAATAAGTGTGTTCTGCCATGAAAGTAAATTGCTCCGAGGTTATGTAAACCAGGGGAATAGTTGAACACATCTCTAAAGGGCAGCAGATGAGGCATTTTTGTGCTACCAGTCATCTAGCAGCATGTGTCCCCAGAATAGCATGCAGCAGGGGGATCGTGGCTGTGTCCCTTGGATTTGAAACAGCTACATAAGTCACCAAAGAGTGGTGTTGCCAAGACAGACTTATAGGCAAAAATAAGATATATTTATTGACTAGCTAGCAGGGCTGGAAGAAGCAATTCAGTATGGTTGGGATGAGTAATTGCTACGTGTTACTGAGCAGCAAAGAGGAATACTAAAGGCCTCAGGGAAGATCTCTTGATCCCTGGACAGCTGCATCCCACAGCTTGCTTGCAGAGGGCTAGGTGTCCTGGGTAGGACTACGACATGAAAGCTGGCTGGGGAGGCAGGTTACAGCCTCCCATGAAGCACAGGGATCATCTCTTCACAGCAATCTGCCAAGTCTCATTAATTTATCATAGGAACATGCCTTCAGTGTTTCTTGCCCTCGGTTCTGTTTCATAAGATTGACAGCAATGTCTATGGACCACAAAGCGTTTCTGACAGGAGGGTAATTAACCTTTGGTGTTTACATCTCCCTCTGCTAGATAAGTTACACACCAAGTCTGTGCATTTTGGGGAGGACCGGCTGAAAACAAGCGATGTTCTTGAGCAGAGGAACAGGAACGCTAGAATAACTTTTTCTGAGTCCTACCTGGGCTTGTAGGTGACTGAGGAACTTTACTCATCGAGGAAATGGCCAAAGCCTTAGACTCAAGGCTCTGGGATCAGCCCAGTTCTGCTAGCAAGACCCTCCCACCACCTGTGGCCCCTTGGGCTAGGACCCGGGTCTTGCTTCAGGCAGGCTCAGCACAGGCGAGCTGAGGCTCTGCCCTCCTTCGGGGAGCTAGAGAGGCCAAAGTTTATACACAGAATAGGCAAAGTTTTCTTTCCAATGGAAGCCACAGGCAGATGCAATGCAGAGCAGGAATAAGGAGAGCATCAAACAGAAACATGCTGCTGGATCTCAGCCAATAAACTAGCAAAAATTCAATGAGTAACAACATCTGAAAAAGACAAATGAAGGTGGTTGCTTTTGTTTGTGGAAAGAAAACCAGGAACCTCTGGATTTGGGATGAATGATGGTTTGCTTTTTAAGAAGGCTCCTGTAAATAAAGAAGCAACAAGGGATTTTCTTTCTGAGAGACAGGGTGCAATGTCAATTTCATATCCTCCAGAGTGGCTAAGAATGAAAATACACAGCTCTCCCTGGTGGGTAAGAGAAGGAGATGAGAATGAGAGAGAACATGCACCATGGTGCTGTAAGCAGGACACTTCTCTGGAACAGGAGGAGCTGGATGGAGAGAGTTTCTATGTCTGGCAGACCGTTAGGACCATAACTTAAGACACTTCTTCCTTCATTGTTAACATCAAAAGAAAGAAGAACAATTTAATTTATTCTACAGAGCTGGGCCTTAGTGAGACCACTGGCTGAGTCTTTGCAGCTGGACATGGCTGAAGTGCCATTGGTGCTGGCAGAAAGGAGCATGTTGCTGAATTAGAGGCTTTTACTACTGCATGGTTATGAGCAAGAAATAGATAGCAGGTCTTTTACCACCTCTGAATGATTGCATTAGCAAAGTAATGCAGTTACTGACTTAATAGGTGTGCGATGACTGCTGTGCTGTGTGTGATCCTATGGCCCTTGCACCCGCTGGCTTGGCACTATGCCCCGTTTGCAACCTGACAAAAATTTTGGTATCAGGCCTTGGAAAAGGTACGCTGTGCTCTCCTGATGCTGTCAGAGGAGGCTGTTTGTGCATGCTTCCGTAGCAAAGAAACAGATCTGTGACTTGTCTCATATTTTGCATCTTTTTGCCATCCTTCTCTTCATGTATTTGAACGCAGCCTGTGGAGAATAGCAGTGTTAGGAAGCTAGCATTAAATCACTGCCAAACAAAATGTCAACAGAAGGTATACGCATCGCTTCTGTCCATTCGTACGCTGCCTGCTCAGCATCCGGCTGACATCATTTGGGATGCTGCCACGGATGGCAATGGGAGTTCGGGCCGCCTCGTGCTTTGCGTCCGTTCTTATTCACTGGGATTACTGCTGTGCCCGAGCCCCCTGATGCTTCTTGTCACTGCACGTCCCACATTCTCTGAAGGAGGGAAAGTCTGCCATTAGAGACCCAGTGTGCCCATTTACCCAAAGGGAGGTGGATGCTGGGAATGTAAATAAACCCCCAAATGATGCAAGTGGAGGAGAGTTCATTTGAGTTAACCACTGACAATGAAGTCGTTTGAGCATTTCTGCTATAATCCTATCAGTCAACAAAACTATGACAGCTGAATAAGCTGCATCACTTGGATTACCACTCCGGCTATTTTGTTTTCTCTTCTAAATCTTCATGATATCCCCCTGAGCACAAACAGCAAGTGGAGATGAAGGAGAATGAATCGGAAAAGCACGGGGAGAAGCCAGGGGCTAGGGGACTGTCACTCGGAAGGCATGCTCTTTCTGTCAGGCTGACACATTATAGGCACAGATCCCACATTCATTGATGTAAGTGAAACCATCTGTGCCACAGATCTGGTCCTGGTCTGGCGCTTGGCCAGGGGGCCCCGACTGCCATCCTCCGCAGTGCCCTTGTGGCTAAGCCTTAAAGGAAACAGACAAAACAAGTTTCAAGCAATACGTTTCCAAATACTCCTCATCCTTCAGAGGAGTTGAAGGGAATTAAAGTTTTGCTTCTACGAATGAAAAATAGGCAGAAAAGAATATGCTATGCAAACTCTCTTTGTTTGCAAATTCACAGTATGTTTAAACTTATGGGGCTGCACCTCAGCTGGTGGAAATCTGGAAAGCCCTCCCAGGCTGGGTGGCTGTGTGCCAGCTGGAGATCAGCTCCCTCCCTGGGCTGCTTTTTTCTTATCTACATCTTGATCGGTGGAGAGCACGCAACCAGAGTCCAGAGCATGGCAAGGAATCAAATACAGTTGTATCAAATGATAACAGTAAGAGAACGGATGGTTCTGAGTATCAACATGCTGATGGACAAAATAAATGGGTGCCAGAATTATGTACTCTTAAGTATAAAGGGCTGAGGAAATATTTTTTTAGTCCCCAAAATTATTTCCTTTGCTAGCAGACAGTTAAATAGACCTTTGCAACTGATGCACTGAGTTTGTATAATTATTTCTGTATTTCCTTTACCTGAGCAACATCTAGTTATAGAAGTGGTAAAAACAATATCATTGAAATATTTTTGTGCCAGGAGAACAGTTTAAAAAATCAGTGGGATGAGCTGCGTCATTCTCAAGCACCCCTCAAGATCAGCAACAGAGAATTTAGGCCCATCCACACGCCTCTAGCAAATGCAACATATGGAAGAAAAGCTAAAACAAGGCAGATTATCAGCAAACAGTTTTGAAACCTATAGCTTTTTTTGGTAAAGAGTTTGAATGATGTTTAGGTACAGAGGCTGTCAGTGAAAAGGGTTTTTTTCAAGTCAGATGGGTGAGTGCTGATATACACCATGCTGATAAATGATCAAAAAAATCTTACAGCTCAATATAAAAAGACTATGTTAAGTACTGTTTTCTAAATCCCACTTATCAATCAAGAAATTAAATGATTCCCCTCATTCTTCCTCCTCGTTTTTTGTTGTAAGAAAAATGACTACAGTCTCTGAAAACATTGATAAGGCTGTAAAGACAACTTTGACAAATAAGGAAGGGGAGAAAACATTTATAATTTTACAATATCTCTGCAATATGCATTTACAAGTCACGATTCCTGAGGCTGGACCATTCTCAGTGTGAAATACGTGGGAGTTCATCAGCTCCAGTGCTGCTCAGGAGCTTGGTCCCCAGAGCCAGAGCAGCTGCGAGGCGCTGTGCAGAGCCAGACCTGCTGTGGTTTAGCAGCAAATTTTAGGTGCCTGATGTTGCACTTGCAAAAGGCACTGGGGAGTCAGTGTTGTTTTTTTTCCTTCACTGTATTCTTGCCTGAGCACATGAGGCTGCACCTGCAACTATTGCTGTTCATGGAAAGAGTGCAAAAATAATAGTCCACTAAACCCTGCCCTTGCATCCGATCCTTTAGCACCTCTTTCCAAGTTTAATAAATACATAAATAAATAAAAGCTTAGCTTGACAATTGAAAGGTCTTTGAGAGTAACCTGACCGCTCTGAAACTGCTCAGGCTTTTGCCCCAGGTGAGTAAGAAAGTCAGCCTTTCAGACCTGAAGGTCTGCAGCATTGTGCATCTGAGAAGCAAGGGGCAGGAGGCTGGAGCAGCTCAGCACCCTCATTGCTCCTTCCTATCTCACAGGCTGCCAAGCACTGAGCTCAGGAGATGATCTCTTGGTGCTCCCCAGCACAGGAACCTCTGGCTATCTATGGCCGAGCAGGCATCCAGCCAAGTCAACTGTACCTTAAAACCATCTTTCAGTCTCTTCGTGACTCTGTTGACCTGGTATTGTTCTACCTCTCTCCCGTGCCAACAGAATTCAGTGCTTCCTCTTGAATGTGCTCATCTCTGCCTGGCCGTTGCTTCTGTATCACCATGAAACAAAAAGAAATCGTTTAACTAACAGACCCTCAGTAAGTGACCCTGGAACAGCTGAAAAACAGCAGTGCAGCACAGAAAACATCTCTGTCCATGAGACGGCAGCTGCCCTACTTTTATAGAGTGATATTGCTTCATGAAACACCCCCTGAGCCTGGGTGAATATTTAAACTCCAATATCAGGCTTTTGCCATTTTTTGTGGTTTATTCCATTTTGTACTTTTACACGAAACCTACTGGCAAATACTGCATGGCAACTGCGTCTAATGACTGCTTTGGCTTCTGCCCTGGATTGCCCCGACTTCTTCCCGACTTTGTGCCTGTCTGAGTTCATGTTTGCCTTTGGTGTCATCAAACAATGAGTTCCACAGAGAAGGATTTGGCACGTCTGTGCCTGACTAATGTCATTCGGTTGGATCCTGACAGCTTTACTGAACAGGCCTGCAAAAGCCAGTATCGGAGCTAAGTCCAAGTGAAAGCCTGCCAAATCCACGAAAACTTTGTTCAGGTCTTATCCCTCAGGATAACCAAGTAACAGTTAAACTAGATTAAAGCAACATATGTTCTGCAAAAACACTTTCACAGCAAATGGCAAGAAGGTTATATAAACCAAAGGAACGTTTACATTAGGACACAGACTCAAGAAAAGCACAATAAGCCATTGTTAGTTACAAATCATCTTGAAAAGTACATGCCAGCCATGGAATCTAATAGCATGGAGGTACTATGGCCTCGTTCCCTGATACAATACCCACAGTATCTCCAAGTCAGGAACATTTGCCTTCAGCCTATTAATCTAGCCTGACAATTCAAAGAGCCACTTTCCAAACTGGTCCAAATAATTGTGTTTCTCTGGTAAACTACAATGGGACATTGAAGGAGGGAGGCTTTAGCTATAGCCCAAAATAAATCCTTTAACCCCAAAACATTGGAATTTCAATAGCCCTAGGCTGGGGGAACCAGAGTGGAGCTGGTTGGGGGTGGCCCCCAGGTCTTCCTACCCCACTGACATCCACACAGACACAAGTGACAGCAATTGTATCACTGCATACCAAGCTCCTTGGGCTGAAAAAAAGTGGATGAAAAAAATGTCGTGCAGAAATATTGCTACGTACTCAGTTAAATCTGGTCACAGGCAATCCCCTGCATCCTTTTCCTTTGCGAATGGCTTTAGAAGGCAGGTGGCTGCAGTGATTTGCTGTGACTTGTCCCCCACTGCATGGGAGATTCCTGCCCATCAGGGACCAGGACTGAAGCTGTCCCGTAGCATTAATAAATCAAGGTATTTACTTCATGCATGGACACTCCTGCTCTGCGACCCTGACAGAAGCTTGATATTCCCCTCCTGGAGCTTATATCTTACACAGCACATGGCACTAAGGTCAGTTCAGTGGAGACAGGCTGGGATCACCTCCTGTGACAGCAGTTGCTGCCTCTTCCACAGGACAGGCTGCACAGGCAGTGGAGGCAGCGGGAGCCAGGTCAGGGGCACCTGTCAGCTACTCCGTGAGTTTCCCTTTCCAGCCAACAGCAAGAGAACACTCTTTGTGAGAGCAAACCATCCACCCCACCTTAGACATTGCCCTGTGGAGGAGAAGGACCACGTCACCCTTGAGGTGAATGTCTCCCTCCAACGACTACAGAGAGGGAGACCACGATCAGGTCACACCAGGATGTTAAAACTTGGGTGAAAGGAGACTGTGAGGCATAAGAAAATGCCAGAGAGGCCCCTCTTTGGAGGGGGAATGGCATGGATGCCTGGCAGGAAAGTCTTTACCCACACTGTTTGGTAGAGCAGAACATCAATAGGTGAATCAATGAGCACCAGTACAAGTACCATGCTGGGGAGGAGAAGGGTGAAAAGGTATGAAACGTGGCACGGAGACATATAAATGTTGCCAAGTGAGTTTATTGACCAAAACGTGTTTCAGGAGCTTAAGGAGACAAAACAAGCTGAAGGAAAGCTGTTGGGGAAGATCAGCCCACGAAAAGTCACATACAAGGCAGTTTGTCTTCCTGTGCTGGACTCCACTGCAGAGTTAGCATGAGGACCTGCTCATGAGGTTGAGAGTCCTGTTGCTCTTCCTGGTGAAAAGAGGAGAGAAGGATTAGACAAAGACTATATTGGGTGCTGAAGCCCTATTTCTCTCGTCACTAGCCCAAATGTTGGCTTAATGTTGACAGAAGGTAAAGAACAGTCTCAAAAGCCCAAATATTTACTTTCATTATTATCATTAAAGGAACGATGACAGGTTTTAAACATTTGATACAATTCAGCTAGTTTGGTGAAGTACTTCTCTCATGCTCTGATGAGCTTGTGGGACAAACTGCACGCTGGTGAAACTAAGCAAACTGTCTTTGAAGTTAAAAAAAAAAAAAAAGACACCACACCACCACACAACAGGAAGCCACACACAGATTGGCAGAAGTGAACGCTTTGCATTTTCCATTAAAAAGCAAACACCCCACCTCCCTGCAGAAGTCATAGTGCACCAGAAATATCCTCCACACACCCAGAAGCACTTAGTCAAAAATGCCTTACAAAAACAGCCCTACATTTGTAGCAGGTACAGGAATTAAATGCGGAGAGGAAGGGTTTTACTTCTATACGTACAGGTATGCATTGCAGAAAGTGCATTTGTTGCTGTATGTTATGCCATCAGAGCCGCAGTGGGGCATGTATTCCATGGTGCAGATGGGAGAGATTTCTGTGACGCCACGGCAAAAATCCTGCACACACAAAGAGGACATGAGGCTCTGCCTGAGAGCAAACCATGGCCCCCCCACCATGAGCAAGGACACCCCACTGAGAAATGAAAACTGCCTGGAAAATTATGACAATAACCAACTCAGCTCCCTCCTGGTGGCAGATGTGACCTCATACTATTCCTACCCACTGCTACATCCTTTCCCCACACTGTTACAGAGCGATGGGATGGAGAGCAGCTGTTCTATGGCCAATGTGAAATTCCCAAAGGCTGCATGCTGCTTCTCCGGTTTGTGACCCAGAGCAGGGCACAGCTCCCCATGGCTGTAACAGATACTGGACCTTGCTCTTTGTCCCCATCTTTTCCCACTCACCCTTGTAACATCCTCTTCACAGCGTCCATTCTTTCTTTTGCCAAGGTTGGTCCGATGCTCCCTGGAAGAATGAAGGACAACATTAGAGACAACCTTTACTGTTAGAACCATGGTGTAAGAGCACAGCCTCATTTCTGCATAGCACACAGATCTTCAGAAATATTAGCTTAGCATTGGCTGCATAGCATTAGCAAGTGTGCCTTTACGGAGTGGGGATGTATCTTTTGGAATAATGGTCTCCCAGTCAATGAACACTCTTTGTGGAGTTCTGGGGGCAATGGGCCTTGCTAAATGCCCATCTCAAATGCCAACCATGGCAAACAGGGCAACAGGGTTGAAAGAGGGGACCCATCCAGCAGAGTGTTTCAGATAGAGTTCGTGTGCGTTATTCAGCCCTCAAGGACATGGTCCAACCACAGCCACTGTGGGTTCCCCAAAGGAGAAGGGCAAGTACTTACAGGTTGTGGGAACACAGTGTGCACTCGCTGGCATAAGTGACACCGTTGGTAGCACAGACAGGATCGTAGATCATGGTGCAGGCCATCAGCTGTCTGCCATCCTTCAGCGTGGAAGTTGGGTACTTGCTGCAGTCAAGCTGTGAAACAAAGACAGCAAATGCTCTGTGCCATGGTGCCCAGACACAAACCCCTGTTTATGCCTCTGCCTTTTAGGATCTGCCACAGGACAGATTATGGTTATTTATTAACTCATTCTTCATTGAAAGCTAGCAATTTCATTTCATAGCCTTATGCTGGAGAAGACTGAATCAAGGCTTGAAGGTGCACATCACTCATTCAGCTCTGTATTTATCATGATGCCCTTATACCTTACTGAACCTACTGGGATATTGCAAAATGAAGCTCATAAATAATCAACAAATCAAAATGGCATGATTTATGCACTTCCTGCAAGAGAAGCTGAATGTGACCAAGGAGTGTTTCATGGCCCACAAGAATTGAGGGGAGATGTGCTGACAGGCCTTTTGTTGCAAGGGGCTGGCTCCGAGTGTTGAAATCTGCCAGAAGGACTGACAGCAGTTGAAAATGATTTACACCGGTTGAAGAACTGGCCTTGTGTTTCAGCAGTCCCAGTTTCTCCAGTGTGAGCTCTTCCTCGCTGATTTATGTATCTCACCCGGCCTGAGCACAGAGCGTACCCAGGAAACAAAGGAATGACATTTCATAGTCTGTTTGTATAGAAATGAAATATCTGACTCAGGATGTTGACTCTTTCAAACACATGATAATGAGATGGCTTTGTTTTTCTATTCCCCAGTGACTGTAAATAGTTTATAGCTGGCCAAATATATTTAATCCAGCATTTTTACAAAATTCATTGTTGGTATACACTGGATTATATTGTTTTTACAAACATGCACACAGAAAAAAAAGGAAAGAAGAGAAAAAAAACAACAGAGGAGTTTGAATCCTCTGGTACATTAGGTATGGGAATTCAAAAAGTAGGTAATTTTCTAATTTTTGCAGCACATCCTTTTGCAAAGCACAAGTATCTAGAAGGCACCAGGTAGCTGGGATCACCTGCGTCCCCTTCCCATACTGCCAAAACAGGCTGCTAAGTTCCTGCGGCGGCTATGATAGACTGCTGTGGTAAAGCAAATTTTTCCTTGTAATGCCTTAAATCATTTATGCTACCTGTTTCATAAATCATTCCTCACCTGTTCTCTTCTCTTTCATTCTATGACTGACTGCAGGAAGTTCCTGCTGACGGGGGGTGATGTTCACCCGCAGGAAAAAGGGCAGCAAGAGCTGCATGACCCAGTGGAGGCTACGCCACGAAAACCAACCAGCACTCCTACAATTAGGCAACAAGCACCACCTCAAGCTCTTATTTTTCTTTGGGTCCCACTTACCTGGGGAACTTCCTCTACACACTTTCCATCATGCTTCTTGGCAACGCTGGTTCCAAATTCACTGGAAAAAAAAAAAAAAGAGAGAGAAAGTAGTTTTAAAAGCTCAACAAGCAACTTTGGTGATCTCTGAGTGGGTGACCTGCAGGGCTTACATGTTGTGGGCACACAGTGCGCAGTCGTTGCTGTAGGTGACACCGTCAGAACCACAGACCTCCTGCAGGATGAAGGGGCAGGCTGCGATGGCTTCGCCGCTTGGGGTCTCTCTCAGGTATGCGGAGCAATCAAGCTAGGGAGAAAAAGTAACAATGCTGGGCCAGCTGCTGGGAGCTGGGAACGTGCCTCAGCTACAGTCTGTCTGCTCTCGTCCTCCAGATTTTGAAAGCTTCTGCCAGAGGAAAATCAGGGTCTGTTTTAAGTTTGGTCTTCCATTAGAAATGAATTATGTAATTCTAGTTGGGTTTGGTATTGCCTGCTAACAGAGGGAAGAAAGGAATAGTGGACCAAAAAGATCGTTTTCCTGGATTAGGAATTGTATAAGATTCAAAACAAGCATTTGACCAAAGGAATCTGATTTAAGGAGTTTGACATTAGGTCCAGCCTGAATTAAATAAACCTGAGGTTTTGTTTCAGAATTTTCAAACCAGCAACAATAAACTGTTCACCAGCTCCTGTTGCAAAAATCTTTACAACTGGTTCAAATATTTGAGGATAAATAGGCAAATATCTATTGATGGCTGTGGAAGTCAGTCTACACTAGCTAAACATCTGACACTTCACAGTCATTTTGCATATTTTCCCCAGTGTAGTCTCTCTTATTACCCATATTTCCTACACAGTCCAAGAGCAAATTATAGCAAAGACAGCACTGTAACATCATGTCTTTACTACAGAAAATATATCTCATTCCCTGGGGATGCATGAAGTTATTTTCAGTGTTTTAGAGCTGCTCTGCATAAGCAGAATAAATGTGCTGAGATGTTATCAGCACATATTGTTACTGTGCATGTTTATACAGCTATTTCTGTATGCATACCTGGAAGCAGATTTTTCTTGGCTGACCACAGCACGAGGATTTTTTAGCCTGTCTACTGCAATGGAAATCCTAGCACTGAATGAAAACACAGACATCTAGCACAGCTTTCCGTCCTCTCCTACTGTGCTAAAATGGGCTGCATGGTTCTTGGGCTGCCTTTGGTAGTTTCTGTTCAGAGAAATTTTGTTTCCCAAGCCCTAGCCTATTTCCTTCCCCTGTTGCCCAAACGTACAACCTCTTGGCCGCGGCTGCTGCAAGTGGACAGGGAGCACTGCAGCACCAGCACAAGGTACAAGCACCCCCCGGCTCCTCCTGGAGACAGGGGAGTGCAGGAGAAAGCACTCGTTTTACATCTATTTACACTTACTGCAACGCTCTTCTCCTTGCATCTTCCATCGTGGCTCTTCCTAACGTCAGTCCCAAATTGCCTGAAAAGAAGAGGCCGGCGTTAGCTTGCTCACCAGCTGAACCCTGTGACACCCAGCAGTCACAGAGCAGATCAAAATCTTAACCAGCACATATGTTAGAGGAGGCATCTGACAGCTTAATTAACCAGCTTCTACCTGTCATTACCAAACATAATCCTAAGCAGTAACAGACCATTAAGGTCTACTCATAGCAGTCCCATCCACTTTTTCCTCTGCCCAAATCCCACAGCTCTCACAGGGTGCTCAGGCTGGTGGCTGGCTCCCCCACAGCTCCCTGATGAACACATCAGGAAAGGAAATGGAGGTGACAGAGCTTCAGGAGTTTGAAAAAGGAACAGAAAGAGACACACAGACTTGCCAGTATCAAAAGGGAAGCCACCTGGAGTACTAACCATGGCTAGTCACTCCAAAAGTAAGTCCTATCTGCAGTACTTACACGTTATGGGCACAGATGCCACACTCGTTGTCATAAGTAAATCCGTCTGTGCCGCAGACTGGGAGCAGGATCCGTGGGCAGCGCACCATACGTTTACCACCACTAAATGTTCTTGCTGGGTATTGACTGCAGTCGACCTGCAAAAAGCAGAAGTGTTGGCCCTGGGGAAACCTTTGTTCTCCAAGACAAACCCTAGCATCATCTCATGCTTGTCTCCATATCTTTTATACTGGGATGCTGGAACAACACTTGTGCTGTACTTCAGTTCTCTCAGAACCAGCATGAGTCAGTTCTGCATGAATCCTCTCATTCCCAGAAGGAACTACACAGCACTGTACAGTCTGCAAGATGCCAAATCACTAGGGCAAGTAGCTCAGTCAGTCCCAAATGCCATCCAACTCCACTTATGACCCAAGGAGTTTACATTTTGACTGAAAATGTTTGCAAGATATGCCAGAAAAGAAAAGAAAAAAAAAAGTATCTTTTTCATTCTGCACTATCGAAACAAACAAAGGCAAACAAAATAGTAAAGCAAGTTGGACTTTGCTGGTGATGAATCTGGAGGTCATCTTCAAAGGAAGCTCTAAATCCCCCACTGACCACGTTTCATTTTGTTTGCATATTGTACATATGTTGGCATGTCCTAGATGCCAGGTCTGGGACTTATTGTCTCAGTCCAGAACTTCAGGTGTGTTCGATAGTCTAGAATACATCCTCAGCCCAAAGGTTGGTGTAGGTACAAATTTACATAATGTAAACTCTGTGTCTAGCTCTCATACACCAGGGTTGTGCAAGCAAGGAGGACCCAAAGGACACATGCACCAGGATGGATTGGAATATGCAGGCATCCTTACACGGGGGGGACTGACAAGACTTAAAGGACTTGTAAAGAGAACCAGGCTTCAAGTATGCTCACTTTCAGAGTAGATGTAGCCTCAGGAAATATTTCAGTAGGTAGAGACAAGGGGAGAAATATGCCTGATATTGTATACTCACCTCAGGAGCCTCCTGCTTGCATTTTCCACTGTGCTTCTTGCTGACATGGGTCCTCTGCTCACTGGAAGAGGGAGACAATCGAGTTGAGTAAGTAAATGCTTAAACTCTTGGTCCCACTCACATGCAAAATGAACCAGACATAGCTTAAAGCAGGTACCTAAAAAAACAGGGCTTCAGCCTCTCTACAAGGTTGTATCAAGATAGCTGCATTACTCTGCACATTAACAAGCTCCTCACGTCTTCTCATAACATCTAATTTAAAGCAATACTCTGAACTATTCCTTCCTCTGCTCAGTCACTGCCCAACCTACAGACTAATCCAAGGAGCCATGTTCTGACTCTTGCAGGTTTCCTCTCATGAGCATGAAGATGGGGTCACAGAAGGAAACTCACTATGAACCCCCAAATAATCCATTTTTTAAACACACTTTAAGACATAGGCATAAGCAGCAACATAGAAGGGAAGTTCCCAGGACTGTGAAGCACTGCTGGCTACTTTGAAAGAGTGGGGTATGTATGGCACTTACACGTTGTGGGCGCAGATCCCGCACTCGTTATCATAGGTGAAGCCATCTGTGCCGCAAACTGGATTCAGGATCCTGGGACAGGCTATTAATTTTCTGCCATCTTCAGCGACTCTTGTTGGGTATTTACTGCAGTCAATCTGCCAAAATAAGGAGAGTTAGCCCCGGTGGAGCCCTAGGAATGTGAGAAAAGTCAATGCAAAACCTTTTCATTTGGTATCCCACCTGAATGGGAAAAAAAAAAAAAAAAACAAAACAAAACAACCAACCAACCAACCAAACAAACAAACAAAAAAACCAACACAGCCATTGTAGTTTCTATGACAGAACAAAGCCCTGACATACTTAAATTAAACTATATCAGAAATAGGCTGAATATTATCCTAATTCTTTAGGAGCTGGGAAAAAGGACCTATCTTGGAGAATGAATTCTTCAGGCAGAGGAACATATATAAAATTGTAGGATCCCTTCTCAACAACAAAATGGTTGTGAAAACATTTTTCACTCGCAAGAAATCCAACTAATTTTGTTTTGGTTTGTGTTAGTTTTCTCTCCAGTTCTCCAGCACCGTGATTATTTATTAATTCTAATTCCCTGTAGTTAAGCATGGGATTTGAAGGGCTAAAGAATGGCTATCTGTCAGTTGGAGAATGAACTTTCTGCATCTCCAAATTTTTGTGCTGAAATATATAAGCTTTTCTTCCTGAGGCACTGGGCTCTTGGCCCTGTATAAATACAAAATGAGCTATACCCTATAAATATGTATGCTCATTGCTCTTCTGAATCTCACTATGTCTGTGAAAGCAACCAGGATGGGAATTTTGAATGCTTGTTGCAAAGGGTGGAAATGCAAAGGGAGGAATCTTCAGAGAGAAAGCTGCCAACCTGTACAGCACAATGCCAGGAAAATCCTGGGCCTCCTCTTTTGTCCCTTTGGTGTGGAATATATGGAATGACCCTCTCTTTGGGACAGGGAAGATGCAAAAAATACCCTTACTGGAGAGAAAGCCAGAGGATGGACTGCGACCCTTGCAAGTCCTGTCATATCATCCTCTTGCAGTTTCCTAGAAAAATCACTGGGATTTTCTCTGTTATACAGCCCTAAGAGAGAGATTTTGATTTCTATTGCACTTACTGAGACAACATCCAGCTTGCATTCTCCATCATGCATTTTGGTAATGTTGGTGTGATGTTCTCTGGAAGAAAGAGGTTCTTTGGTTAGGGAGCCTTGAGAATAACTTTTCCTATCTCCCTCTGGCCACTGGGACAAGAAAGGCCCCACCCGCCATGTAGGGCACAGCACCTGGCTGAGTTGTCTGGATGCACCCCACAGATAGTAGCAACCCTTACTGAGAAAAAAATGCACGGTATTTCCATATCACATGGTATTAGGAGCAACAGTGTGATCCGTTCATGGTTCTGCTCTGGCTCTTTTGTGATCCCCCTCACGAGCACAGAGAGAGAATGGGGAAGAAAACTGAAGTTGGCTGGAGAATTACAAGTAGCCAGCTTCAAAGAGACCCACCGAGACACCTGCCTTAAGAAATCCTGGTGTTTTACAGAAGCGTTTCCAAGAGCCTTAGCTATTACTAATTATCCAGAAGGATGTTCTGCAGAAAAGACTTACGCGTTATAGGCACAGATCCCACATTCGTTGTCATAAGTGAAGCTATCTGAGCCACAGACTGGTTTCAGAATCCTTGGGCAGGCTACCAGAACACCACCACCTTTTGCAGTTCGCTGGAATTTGCTGCAATCAATCTGTAAAAAGAGTAGGAATAGAGAAAAAAAAATAGAAAAAAGAATTAAATAAAATTAAGTCTTTATGGACAACAACAGAGCAAGACATTGTCTTACTGTCATGCCTACCGTAACGTGCTCTGGCCTGCACTCTCCATCATAGTCCTTCTCTACGTTTGTCCTGTGCTCCCTAGAAGAAAGTAGACCTGTGTCAGGAATTGTGCAGAGCAGTCGTCACCTCCCTGCTGGCAGGGTCAACACCTTGGTGCTAATTCATGTTCCTCTGCACAGCCCACATCTGGGGGACAAAGCTGCCACCCTTACCGCAAGTCCCCTACCTTGCTGCTGCTGCAGGGTTTCCAGCAAATCTCACCTGTTGTGGAGGCAGATCCCACACTCGTTGCTGTATGTGGAGCCATCGGTGCCGCAGACTGGCTGCAGGTTCCTTGGGCAGGCCACCCAGAGGGTCCCATCCTTGCCGATGCCGCTGGAATACTGGCTGCAATCAACCTGGGAAAGCAGCACAACATCGGCCCCAAGGTCAGCTCCTGCCCAGAAAGGACAAACCACGCAGCCTCCCACCTCCCGCAGCAGTGCCCGCAGCTCCAGCCGGGAGGAAACCCAGAGGTATCATTTTGAATCTGCTCAGGCTGTCAGGAGCAGGGAAACTTCTCTACAGAAGTTTTTGATTACGCCTTCCTGCTGGGGGCCGGGGGAGGCACGACACGGAGGAAGGATAGCTGTGGGAGAGACGGTGCCTAATGAAGGCATCTGATAATTGGGAGCCTGGCCGTACGCCAGAGTCCCTCAGCTCAAATCTGATCGTTTCCAATCATGCTACACTCTCTGGTGAGTTACAGGAGTCTCATAACTGTGTGGGAAGAACCTGCAGACAAATCCATCACGTGGACCCCGCTGTTTTCCTCAACCCAATATAGGGATAGAAAAGAACACAATACTGCGGGTCTTAATGTATAGAAAAAATATCAGAATCATGGTCTTTGATGCGTTCAAGCATATCGTCTTAAGACAGCTTTCCTCTTGAGGAGGTAATATACTGCCCTTTGACTCGGAGTAACTCAATTATATTTAAGAGTTATTCTAATAGGATTGTATAATTACTTCTTGCTTTCTTCATTTTACTTAATGAACTGAAAATAGTATAAATGGGGGGGGGTGTTTTACTTTCTCATGATTTGGCAATATCATTCAATCATGCACTGGCAAATATTATTTGAACAGCCAGGATTTCATTAGATTTAATCCACTTGCTCATCAGGTAATTATATACTGTTTCTATTTTACCAGAAGCTCAGAATAGAACAGAATAAATGGAAAAATCTGTAACTTACCTCAATTCCAAAGGTAGTATCTAAAAGAAAAGTAGAGACAGAAAATAAATAAATAAATATATATATATATTGATGTGCAGAGATGACATGCAAATCTTCCTATGAAACAATTAAATTCAGTGACTTGTTGATTGGTTTATTGGGTTTAAGAAAATGTAGTCTTACATTATGTTAGTAAGTGCTCATAAGGTGAATTAAAAGTTACTAAATAAAGTTTTATTCCACTTTTGATGGCAGATAGAATGGGGGAGACCATATGTATTAATCAGTTCCTAAGACATTACAGGGAAGCGATATAGGCATTTTCAATTCTGCACTCTGAGTTTAACCTCTTCTAAAAGACTTTGTATTTGATTTCGAGAAGCTCAGACGTGCATTTAAGATGGCTGTCAATCACTGGCACTATCCCATCTCAAGACACAAACTTCTCAGTTACTGGGAACAGCACAGAAAAGTTCACAGAGTGATTCTAGCCATTAAAGTTAGCACTTATGTTGCTCACATGGACACGGATGCCATTGCAAACAGCCTTGCTTTGCCCTTATACCCAGCAGTTCCACATGCAAGCTCCTGCCCTGCACTAAGACTGCTGCCTCAGCAATTTCCTCCTATAAACCAAGATGAAAGCAGTTATCTGCATGAGGTTTGTTGAAACCTTGGTTCTTTCAGTTTAATTCTTTGCTACACTCTCAGGAAGAATATTCCTCCATGGAATAAGGCTCTCCTGCACATTACAAGACCCCAATACTTTTGCTGATCACCCGGCCGCTGGTTCAGCTAAAGCAACCTATGCAATTGGATGGGAAACACTCACCTAAGAAGCAGCAGAGGGCTAGAGCCACTCTCACAAAGAGCCTGGTGGTCTTCATGGCAGACAGCAGCTGTGCCACTACAGCCCGATCGCTCTCAGTGTGGGAGAGGAAGGGCACAGGCAGGAGTGGGAATATATAGCGAACTGTCATGTCAAATGGTCCCACCTTATGATGTAACACCCAATCTGTCATCAACACGGGAAACCAAAATGTATTTACCCAGCTCTGGATTTCTAGCTAATGATTGACGCAGGCACGTATGCCAGGAAGGGGCCTTTTGTGTGGCTTGAGGGGAGCCAGCAAGTGGAGAGCGTGCCAGGGCCCCTCCGCTCCCGGATCTGCCCCAGCACAGTGCAGGCTCTCATTTGCCCTACAACGGAATAAGTGCAATTAGATTTTTCTCCTCTGCTGTAGTTTTCAACCAAGCTCCTAGCTGGTAGACAAAACCCTAGCTATTTCACCTTGGGGCATGACTTTGCACCTTCACCACTACATTTCACGTCAGTTTGAGCCTGGGCACTTGCAGCCCAGAAGGTTACCCCATTCCCTCTGGAAGAAATCCTGTTCTTCTGCCTTTAAAAAAAAGACTCATAAGAGATCTGCTCCATGTACCAACTTTCTCTGTATTAAGGCAAGGAACAAAACCATGACGTTTGGTCCCCAAATCCATCTTTTTGGCTGTTCACTGATAACTCCTGTCGTACCCTCTGTTCACATATTACCACCTCCCCTGTTGCCCGTTCCTGACCCACCTCGCCAAGCCTAAATGACACCATCCCACAGGGCAACAGGTCAAACGCTTTGCTGTCTGGATAGACTAGATCTACTGTACTTCCCTTATCTAGGAAGTCAGCCAACTTTGTAAAGATTGATATTAGCTCATACACGATTACCTTCCGGCACATTCATCGTGTACATTAATCATTCCTTTACACTTCATGTCTTTAGTTTTCTTCAAGCTTCAGCTGAAGGTTTGCCCAGCATTAAAGTAACGCAGCTTAGATCAGTCCTGAACATGTTTTTCTCCTTTATTTAAGCAGATTTTTTGTCAATTCTATACATTGGTCTCAAAACAAGTCTCCTCAGTTGGGATCCTAGATTTTCCAAGTTTCTAAGTTTTAATCTTTCATATTCTGTACTCAGTAGTAAAAATCCTTATTTGCAAATCTATTTTTGGCATGATTTAAACAGAGTGAGCTCAGGTTGAATCATCCCAGTATTATTTTTCTAAGAGGAGGACATCAACACCCTTTTCACATGAAAAGCAAATCCACAATGACATGATTTGGGGGATTACTTAATCAAAAATTCTGTTTGCTCCTCATATCCAGAAGCTCTGCTAACAGTAGTAGTTTGCAGTGTGCATCTACAAAGTTAAAGCCTCCCCAGATACCAACATTTCCAGCTATGTCGATGCCTAGTGATGTTACAGAGGTCTCTATTCACATATCTTGCTTTCGTTACTTCCCCGAAATTCAGCCTAGCTATCTCCTGCCCTGTCCCTTATCTCAACAACACCAAGTGTCAAGGACTCCAGAGCTTTGGACCAACACAGCTCTCAAGTGTAAGGACCTCTATTCACCCTGATCACAATATCTATCTTTCTCAGTGCTTATTGAAGCCAAGTCCATCATCAATTAATGCTGCCTGTCAGAGGAAAATGCAACTTGACAACTTAATTGCCAGACTCTGTAAAAGCTGTCACGGTCAAGCAAATCCCTGCCAATGTCCACAAAGATGACACCTGAACCTTATTGGTGAGGAGACATTATTTGCAAACCAAATCTGCAGTTAAAATAGATTGACTCAGCATGTTCTGTCAAGATCACAGCAATTGTCTTCTAGCTAAGTTATTAAATTCAGGGAATGTTTGCAATAGGAGATGGATTAAAGGGGCAAATAAAAAACACCTGTCAGTGATCTAGAGGAGGAATTGGGATCTAGAAAACAACATCGCAGCCATAGCCTATGTCTGCCACCCCCCACCTCAGCTGCAATGCAGTGCTTGTTCACCCACATGGGCCAAGAAAGAATGTGACTCCTTTGAGGCTAGAAGGCAATGAAGCCAACCCACCTGTTTTTCAGAAATATATGCAGAATTTTTTTCTGTTTCCTATCTACAAACCAAGAGTGCAGATAGCAATACAACTGTGCTAACATTGAACTATTTCTTTTAGGACCTTCAGCATATAGGGAAAGTGTGAATTTTCATGCGTGTTTGCTGTTGTATTTGGTGTTTTTTTTTTTTTAAACTTGCAACATGTTGCATCTACATCTTACTATTTTGAGTGACCCACTCAAGTGGAGTTGCTCATACCTTCATTTTGAGGAAAGTTTTGGAGAGCTCTTCCAGCTCCCTGTCTTGTTCTGCAGTCCTGGTTGGATGGCTGGCCAGCAGGAGGACCCCTGCAGCATACAGGAGCAGGGCATGTCCCAGGGCCTGGACAAGAGCTCCATGTACCAGGGAGACCTTTGCAGGACAGGAGGCGTATGCCAATGGGTGCTAAATAGGAACCTTAAAGAGAGGAGAGGCCCGTTCACCAGTCCCTGAGACAAAGCAGGTGGGCCATGGAGCACAGCCTGTGATAATCAAGGGAGATAAGGCTGAAACCCATACACAGCAGTTGCTTGGAGGGTACAGCATCAGGGGGACACCCAGGCAGTCAGAAGAGACGGCTCTGCAACAGAAGCCCTCCTGCAGACTGGCATGAGGCTCATGCAGAGGCCCTGCTGCTGTGGTGGCCATGAGAGGTGGTGGGCAGCACTGCCAGGCTCCAAAAGGACAGGCCGCAGGGGATTGGGAAACAGCACAGGAGTACAAGGTCTGCGAAGGGTTCTGCCAGAGTCAACAGTCCTCAGTATAAAGCCAGAGCAGCATTTGCATGTCCCTTCGGGTTATGTAAGTACCTGACACCTTCCATGCAAAAAAAAGCAAGTGGCTCAAGGCCCCTGCAGGGAGCAATTGAGCTCAAAACCCCGGCAATGTTTGGGAGAACTCGAGGAAAAGCTGTGCGAGAAGGCAGGAGACTCGTGAACAGCCTAGAGCTGCCAATTTGTAGTGCCAGTCCTGCCAAGCTTCAGGAAATGCTGTGAACCACATGGGGGCCATGCCCACTGGCAGTAAGACACCCTCAATAACATGCAATTTACAGCAAAATGAAGATGTCCCAGAGTATTAGTACCTTTCCAGGTTCATCGAGAGCTCTTTAGGTCTCATTACAGCATTAGAGGGCAACACCAAGGGTAACCAAGAGCAAAATAAAAGGAGAGAGTGATATATTCATAACACCTCTTGAGGTTTTTGCCTCCTTCTCCCTAGGACCCCCATGGAAATAACACCTGGCATCACTCATGTGGAGTCCCACCTGGAGCTCTGCTGCATATGGTGCTACTGGGGTCCGTAAGTCCTTGGACTGATCTGCAAAGGGAGGCTGAATGACAAGGAGGAGGGCTGCTGAAAGCAAGAAAGAGTTGCCATTGCTACCTCTGGTAGGCTCACTAACAACAGCAAAGGCAGATTTAGCAAGTCACTGCCGTGGGCCTTCTTAGCAGTTTTGTAATCTGATTAATAAACCCTTATTGCCAGCTATGATTTCTGTGAATGATCATTTCTGCTGGTAGCAGGAGAAATTCAGAAGGTGCTCAAGCCCTGGCAGAAGAGGCTAGTAGGGCACCCTCCTCATCAGTTCATTGGTTTTGGAACACAATTAATGCAGGTTTTATGGGTGATTATTTCAAAATCTGAATGCTTGAAATCACTACAAGTTATAATAGCACTTTCAAGTGCACTGATTTTCATCTGCAAGAATTTATTTTAAGCCTCAAACTGTGTACTGCTTTTAAAAAAATATCACACAGAAGTTCCTGCACATGATTTTAGCTGGAATCAGTGAGCAGACATCATCAGCGAACATTTTTACTGCCTCATATTCATCCTTCTCAAGCTGCATAAATAATATTCAAGGGTTCACCTGTTTCATCAGCTCAAAGACAGACAAATTTTGGACCTCCAGAAACAGCTAAATAGGACGAAACCAGTGACTTTTCCCTGCATAACTGTACGTGGTGGGATTTTCCATGTAGAAATAATCAGTGATAATTTATGTCTAAACGATAGTGTTTGCACATGTTAAAAATCAGCATACAAAATATTAACCATTGTTTATGTCAGAATCTGCTGATAATAAAGTCATAGACTGATAAATGCAATACATGCGGAAGTACTTTATGAGAGTAAAAAATCAATTTTCATTAGCTGCATTAAGGAAAAAAAAGAATTGTGATAACTTAATTGAAAAAAAAAAATCAATATCTGTGAGGAGAGCCAAATTAATTGGCACTGAGTGAAATCTTGCCAAAATCTGAAAGAAAGTTACTCCAGCCTTATCTGCAACAGAGCGTATTTACAGATCAGGTCACAGCTAAAGTGGACTCAAACACTGCGTGTTCACTCAAGGTCTTCTGGAAATGTCCTGCAATAAAGTTTATACAAATAAGAACATATTTGCTTTAAGTAACAACTATAAAAGTACAGGAAAGGCATGCAAACCACCAATAGGTTTCTGTTAATCCACTATCACATTTTCCTCCTTTGCAAATCCCACCCAATTTTCAGGTGCATGGCGCTAATAGACCCCTAGCTAGCCCCGGGAGCATTTAGCTCAAAGACCCAACTTCATCTCAAAATAGTTTCAGTGGGGGTTGGCCTGTTCTCCCATGTGCCTGGTGACAGGACGAGGGGGAATGGGCTAAAGTTACGCCAGGGGAGTTTTAGGTTAGATGTTAGGAAGAATTTCTTTACTGAAAGGGTTGTTAGGCACTGGAACGGGCTGCCCAGGGAGGTGGTGGAGTCACCATCCCTGTAAGTCTTCAAAAGACGTTTAGATGTAGAACTTAGGGATATGGTTTAGTGGGTACTGTTAGTGTTAGGTTAGAGGTTGGACTCAATGATCTTGAGGTCTCTTCCAACCTAGAGATTCTGTGATTCTGTAATATAGATGAACTAGATCTAACTGCAAAACAGCTAAATCTCCAAGTGACATTTTCCTATCCTTAAATAATTTAAACCGTTCAACAGTCATGGAGCTTCTCTCCCCTCTTCCCCCTCCTGCACTGGCTGAGCCCATGTGCCCTCCGGGACATCAGACAGCTGCACGGGACCTGCTGTGCACAAACTAGCCAAGGCAGAAAGGTGACCCAGAAGCACGTGGTGGTGGTCCACAGGCCACCAAGGTGGGCTGCTGAGCTCTCTGCTTGGCCAGCACAGCCTCAGAGATGCCACAGGCCAGATGCACACTGTGGATCCCAGAGATCCTTCCCAGCCGTGCCCCTGATCCAGCAGCCTCGTGTCCATCTGACATGACCCATCAGGTGCATCTGCTCCCCAGCGCTTCTCAAAGCCGAAAGGGCTGGAAGAAGGCACTTACTGCAGCAGTTAAACTGCCTGCACACCAGGTTTAGTGTTTTAAAACAGATTTCCCTCTGCAGGCTTCCACATGTAAACCAATTAAAATCTCAAAACAACCCTCTGAGGTAGGTAAGCATCTTTTAATGTCCATTTTACAGGCAAGAGAAAAGGGCCAGGGGGAGGTGAAGGAATTTATCAAAGGCCTCGCATCTCAGAGAACCCAACCCCTGGCCCCTCCTCATGAAACCCAGACCACACTCTTCCTCTCTGGGTCTGACATCTTCGCATGGCATTTACGGCAGCAGATGCACCCCTAGGGCCTCCATGCACGTTTACTGCCCAAGGAACGCCTGGTGACAAGCCGAAGCAGGGACTTGCACATCCCTCCCACGAGGCTCAGTGAAGAAAAGTGACAGGACGCTGTGGAGTTATCTTTATTGTAGAAGCACGCTAAGACACAGCGAGGTGGCAGAGCCCGAGCCGAGCAGCAACCGCAACAGCACGCGTGGGGCCAACTTGGGAAGCCACCGCTGGGTCCCCACAACTCTTCGCCCTCCACCTGAGCAAGGACAGGCCCGTTTGCTGCAGAAGGGGACAAAGGTGACTCCAACAGCGCTGGGAACTCCGCAGCTCCCCTGATGCTTGACGTCAGCTCTTCCTTTACTTGCCCTAGGGAGACAGGGAGAGACAGTTTATTACTGTAGCCCCAGAAGGCAAAGGACCTGTAAGGACCACCAGGAAAGCTCCAAGCTGGGATACTCTCAAGGACCCTGTGCCATCCCTGCCTCCTTGTGACGGGGGGACAACAGCAATAGGTTCTGCCATCATCCTCTCGGCCCTGCAGGGACAGCTAGGGAATGGGCAAAGCCCACCACTGTGGGGACTGGGAAGTCCTCATGAAGTTTGCACACTCCCATGGGCTCAGCCCCCTTGGCAGGGGCTTCCCTTCACCCCTCTGATTCTGCAAAGGACCCACACCTTGCTCCCAGGCTGTGGTGAGGGGGAAAGAGCACATTGCAGAGCCCTTTGCCCCAGCCCTGCCACCTGCCCAGGCAAGGTTTGACACCCAAACCCTTGTGACACGCCACCCCCAGAGGACAGGCTGGCCAAAAGGGAGTAAATTACTGTTTCTCTGTACCTTTGGTCACAGCTGATCCCTGGTATTTGCTGGCAGTCTGAACTCCATTACTTCTGGAAAAAAAGAACAAGCAATAAGCTCATCCCCAAGCACAACACCGTTGTTACACTGGCAGAGCATTAGGATCTGCATGACAGCCCCTCTGGCCTGCTCAGAGGCTACACAATTCAGCTGGGGCAGAGTGTGGAACTGTGGTAGGCAAGTTGGGTCACTGCCAGACTAGAAAACACGACAAATTTCAGCCTGAAGCTAGGTGCTTTCCATACCCACTATCTAGCTGAGAAAGGTCCTGTTTGTTGTTTTTTTTTTCCTCCTCCTTCTGCCTTCTTGAAGAGAGGCATGACAAAAAGAGCACTGTAAATAAATGGAGTAGCCTGTTGAAAACCTGGAATTTGTCTGTTTGTTCTGTAGGAAACAAATTAAAAATGGACATCCCCTTTTTGCCTGACCTGCTAACTAATATGGGCAGGCTGGTGCCTCTTGCATGGGAGATTTAGGAGAAAGAGGAGAAAGCCTTTGAACAAGAAATTAAATTGCAAGAGAGCATTAAAGTGAAACATTCTGGAAAGATCTACAATTAATAAACCCACATGACACAGCATAGCAGGACATAATGGCCAGCTGGTCTGCTAAAAAAATATCTAAGCCCTGGACTCAGCTACACTCCTCTGCACTAAAGCAGAACCAGATCAAAGGAATTTGGTTATGGCACAGACCTTGCATGGAAGGCAGGAGCCCTGATGCCAGACAGCCCCAGGGCTCTCTCTGCAGGAAGGTTTTCCACCACATCAGTGCACGCTGTCCAGATGTACCCTTTAATGTTGGATCTCTCTCAAACCACACTGCTCCCATCCCCTCCTACAGCCACCCCTCCCTGATGGCAATCTGGCTGACATCAAGGGAGCGTTGCCAGCAACTCCTGGAAATTCAGCAGGAGCTCTGCTGGCAGGAGTGGCTGCAGGCACTGAGCTGGGAAGAGATCAGGCAGCTTGGACACACATTTTGTCAGGCAACACAGCACCTCCACAGCTAATTTCAAAATAAAACGCAAGGAAAATTGCTACTAAAAATGTAATATTATCTTTTCTGAAGTTTAAAGACAGCTTTGGTCCTTTGCATTTTCATTCTGCATATTGCAGCTGTCTAAAACCATTTCTTATGCCAAAGGCACGGCTGGAGCTGGTCTCCTCCAGGTTTTTGTAGCAAGTAGCAAGTACCTGGGTCTTCACGCATTAAAACACATATTACCATGAATTTCAGTGGTGAAGAATAACATTGATCAGGGTATTTTTCATAAGCTTCCAACTGAGAAATAAGGGAAGTCTTTGATGGACACAAGAGGTTTCCCAAGGAAACGGGCTTCCATCAATTTCCAATCTGATTCTTCAAGTGACACAATATACATAAGGAAAGAATAACTCATTGTTCAGAGGGGTGTTTTGGCCTTTTTCAGTGGAAAATCTTATCATTTTCCTTTTATTTGCTTCCAACCCTCCTTGGAATAATTTTAACATAGCTAAAATTGTCTGACTTTCAGTATATGGCGTACTCCTCTAATTGCAAAGACTTGAGAGCTTAGCACAGCTTGGTAAAGCACAAAATGGTAAGGAATCCCAATCCAGACACAGCTCAGAGGGGATCCTCTGTGTTTTTCAGTTGCCATGGTACACCCAGTCCTGGCCGTCCCCAGCAATGTGAGCAAAGCCCCTGGCAGGTTTGCGTAGTGCCTCTGCTCCCAGTGTACAGGAGCCAACACTGACTTCATCACAATGAAGGGCGAGACACAGAGACCTCCACTACAATCACAGGCAAAATTTTTCTCTGCACTACAATTTCTTCAGATTTAAACGGTGTTGAGAGCATTATGCTGTTTCACAGAAGAACACAAGCTGGGATGCTTCACTTTTAACATGTTGGGGATCTACAGGCATCCTGGCTCTGAGCAAAGGAGGGTAAAACCCCTGTGATGGCTGTTTTGCATTATAAAGCCCTTTATGCCAAGGGCGATACTGTTTTGCCTACGGAAACATCAATAGAAAATTCATATTAAGAAGCCAAAGTTCACATACAAAAATTTATACAACTTGTCAGTTTGTCTTGATATCTTGATTCACTCCAGGTTTAGAGTGGGAACAAATATCAACATTTCCCTAGGGATGAATATTCATTTTCTCAAGAATTCATGCCAACACTAAGATCAGTCCTGCGCACCCAGGACACGCAAATCAAGAGACCTTGGCTGTAGAACAAAGCTCTGAGGGCTGTTGAGCTACTCATGAGAAGTCTTTAAGTCATCTGCTATGGGGGAAATCACACAAGGTTCAAGACCTTTCCCAAAAGTACGTCACCTCATGAACAATTTTCACTTCCCAATCATCTTCATGGATTTTATTTGGGAAATGAGGCTTCTATGGTTTATGCAATTCTGGACTTTTTGGTATCACCAAAGTCTCAGGAAAAAAGCCAGATATTTTCCCAGATGTTGTGTCACTCTCCTACCATATGGTCTAGGTAAAAATATGGAGATCATGCCTCAGTTAAATCCAAGTCTGAACCTATCTGAATGCATTCTTGAGCATGAGCACCCCACTCCCAAGGCTCTGGTGCTCTCACCACAGACACAGTGTGCAGGCTGGGACCCCAGCACACACCTGGAATGAGGGTGGCACAGCAGGGAGGCATTTTGGGTGGCCATTTTCTCCAGCTCCCAACCACCCACTCCAGCAAGGACAGAAAGAAAGGAAAAAAAAAGGAGGAGATAGGGGGGCTCTGTTGCCCCTCTGAGCCTAACTCCCTAGCTTGTTGTGCCACATGGCAGAAGTGCACCCCTAGAGCATGGTTTTAATTAAGCCGTTAGTTCAGCTAACCTGTTAGTTCAGTTAACCTGTTAATTAACCTGCCTAGAAGGTCAACATGTGGACTCCTGGCTCTTGCTGGGTGAGCACAGCAGGGCAGGTCGTCACCAATGGCCACAGCTTCTTATTTTTCACTCTGTCTCGACAACCTCTCCACCACAAACATGGATCAGGGCCTCACAAGCTCATACAGTGCCAGCAGAGGACTTTCACAAGGGAAAATAAAAGACTGATGCTCCCCCAGCCCCGCAGTGACATGCTGCTTACCATTTCAGGGACAGAGTTTCGGCATTCACCTCGATAGTTTACTGTGATGTAGACTGACGCTCTCCTGCAAAGGGAGGACAAGACACTGCTTATTATTCACTCGCAATGCCACAGCTCTCTGCCATCGGCATGATGGTCCTCTGTGGGCTCCTTAATACTTTGATGCTACTTCCAATTTGATGGCATTTATTACTCCCCAAGCAATCTTACGATCGGGTAGAAGGGGAACAGGGGACTCTGGAAAGTTGTGTATCTTAATTAGCTGTCATCAGATTAATCTCAAGCATTTTGATCTATGTTTGCTTAACAGCAAGGCACCAAGGACACACTTGATAGTGAGTCATGATGTATCAAAACAAACACTGTGCTGCAAAAGACACTCGGGAATGGTGGATGGCCCTGTATTACTGAAATCTCTCCGCCTACTCACATGGCAGCTGAACACAAGTCACATTCATTTTTGTATGTTTTCCCATCAGTGCCACAGACGGGTTGTGAGGATTTGTTGCAGAAAATCCTTCCACCCTTTACCCCGTGCAGAATTCGATCACAGTCCAGCTGAAGAGAGAAAGAAATCACATTTGGTGCTGGTTCTCTTTCAAGACCCTCCTTTATGCTACTTAACAGTGCTCGCAAGCCAGGCATTGCCCTGAGGCCCCTCTGCCCTGCGGCACATCCATCATACCTTTGGCAAAGCCAGGTTTGCAAAGAGGTAACACCTCCTGTTGGACCAAGCAGCCAAAATCTGGGGGCCAGAGCACCCCTGCCAGGCACAGACCTAGAGCTGCTCGTCTGATCTGCACTGACACTTTGGTCCAGAGCACATTTACTTCTCTGAGGAACCATGAGAATGCAAAAAAACTTCTGCTACCTGTCCCTAATCCTTCTTTATTAGGGCTTTCGTGCCTGTTTCTTCTGCAAGACAGCAGACACTCATTGCCAAAAATGAAGGAAAAGCCTTGATGAAGGAGTCCAGCCGCCTGAGGGTGGTGCAACACTGTGCGACTTGACACCCATGGAATGAGGAGACGCAAGCACGTATGAACAGCTATGACTAAGTGTGCCCTCCTGTTTCCTCTTAAGCATGACAGCAGAAGCATCTAAACACAGTTTTTCCTACAAAGCACACGTGGCACAGCCAGGAAAAACTCAGAGCAGAAAGAACAAGACCTCTCCTGCTTAGGTCATTATCTTACAACCACACCAGCACAGACGTTTGCAGAGTCATGGCAAGTTTCATCAGAGATCCCGCAGCCTGCTCCCTGACACACAGACCCTTTCCCAGCCTCACTGCCCACCTCTGCATCAGGGGCTGAAAAAAAGTCCAAGACAAAGGAGTGACTAACGTGTTCCCAACCCCTTTCTTTCTCCAGGTCCTATACAAATGTGTCGCAATGACTGCGAATGGCGCAATCGGAGATCTGCAGCCAGGACAGGGAGGGCATCTCACCTCCTCTCCCTGTGCCATTTGGCACAAAGAGATCATTTATTGCCTCGCTGGAGTCAACAGCACTACGGAGGGGGAAGCACCAGTGCAGAAGGAAAGCTTCTTGCTGGGCGGCACAGTGGGTTCGGTGATATCGGGGTGCTGCAGCAACACCCTCTGGTTAAACGTCACTTGCTAATTTCATTAATGTGCTGCTTCCTCCCTCATCTGGGTAATCAGCGATGACGTGAAGACAGACAGCTGCTGACCTTTGCAATTCCCTGCCAGATGCCTTCCTACACATCAGACACCGCTGCCTGTGGTGCGACCCACGCGTGCGCCACCACCGCCTCACCGGCAGCCCCACATCACGCAGGGACCAGCATCGAGTGCTGCCCCTCCTTCAGCTCTGGGAACTGGGGCTCCCTGTGACAAACCCCACAGATGGCCCTGGAGAGAGGAGAGGGGCAGGTTTGCTCTCTGAATCACCTCTCGTCAGTCAGGCTGATCAGCATCTGCTCCTCCTCTGGAGCTACCAGGAAATACCACTAAGCCCTGAAGCAGACTGGTGTTATTATGCCTGATGCTTCCTCTGGAATGCATTAAAACTGCCATACCAGAATAGAAAAAAACAGGAGCTGGTTCGGGTGTCTTTTTTCTAATAGCAGTCAGTGACAGAGGGTTCAGAGAGTTAGGGGAGTCCATAATCAGGTCCCTCCAGCCCCACAGAAAAGCATTTCCTATCCTTTCCAAAATGTTATTTAAATTGCTGCATTGACTATAAGTGGCAGGTCATTTTTTTTTAATCACCCTAGCTCTTGGCAACACCCTGTGACAGCAAGATCCACAGGTTAGTCATCCTTTTTATAGTAACTTATTTTCTCTTATTAGTTTCATAATTTCCACTTTAGCTTCATTGAAACTAATGCATTTTCTTTTTGCGGAGACAGGGAGAGCACACACCCCCTTCTCCCTCCCACGTTACTCCACGCAGTCATTACCTATGGCTCAGTGTGCCCTCCTCCAGCGCTCCCTCCCTGTGTCAGCCTTGTCCTTGTCCCCTGGTCAGCCCCAGCCCTGCTCAGGGTCTTTGACTCGATATCTTCTCAGCACTCGGGGGGGACACCACCGTCACTTCCCTGAGCCCCAGGCCACCACCACCACACCCCCATACCTGATATACACCTATAACAAACCAATTCCAGCAGCAGATCTGGCCTTAGAGGCTCCCAAATGGCCACATCCAGCCTCACACCCCTCTTGTGCCAAGGGACAGTGGCAGGGTACAGACTCTGCCACCCAACTCAAGCCCTTCCGAGCACACACGTACCAGCGTGAGGTTTCGGGGTGATGTTGGGAACAGGAGGAGCTGCTGGGAAAGGGAGCTGGGCATACCGGCTGGTAGGTGTCGGGGCCTCCACGCTGTCCTGTGCGGCCAGGCGCCTGGGCTGCAGTCCCTACCGCTCTGGGCCGAGTTTCCTTGTGGGCTGGCAGGGAGAAAGAGCACAGAAGCTGCTCATGGCACAGCCCCTGCAGTGCACGGGGAGCCCAGTGCAGACCCACCCTCCCCACCAGTCCCCACAGAGCTGCTTGTGCCAAGGCAGAGGAGGTCAAGCAGCCCCTGGCCATGTACCAAAACCGTGCCCTGCACTCAGCCCAGCCACATCACCACCCTGGGGGCTTAACTAGATCAATTTAATGTCCAATGCCATTATTCGGCACTTTTTCAACAGGGAGCTTGGCTTGCCATACAGCACAGGCAGTCCCTGCAACAGGGACTCCCCCCCCACCTGTCTGTGTGGAAGTCAGCAGCAGGTCCCCATTACAGAGATTATCCCAGGAGAGCCAGGGAACCAGCTTTCTACAGCAATTGCTGCTGCAGAGAGGGCTCTACACCCTGTCTGCCCGCTGACACTGCTGCGCTGGGGGAAACGAAGGGACTGCAGCAGCCAAAACCAAGAAATCTCAGAGCTCCTCAGCAAAAGCGTTGAAAAAGCAGCAACTGATCCCTGCTCAAGCCTGGCAGTCCTAAAATCCAGGGGGACTGACCAGTGCCCAGAGAGCATGTGGGGCACCAGGCACTGCCTCCCAGCCAGCAGGTGAGGACGTGCTGGGGCCAGGCAGCAGGGCTGGCTGCCAGGAGGCAGGCTTTGCTGGGCATGCTGTCTTGAGAGATTTTGAGCACAGCAATCACTGCTTTGTGTACAGGAGCAGCAAGAATGCCTTTAAAAAGGAGCAAGGGTTGCACAAGAAACGTGCCCTGCTCTATGTCTAGCTTCCCCATCACTGACGAGTGCTGTGCTGAGCACCTCAGCTCTCACTGCTCCATCCCAGGTGGTGCCCTTGGGTGCAGCTGAACCGCTCCCACCCTGATTAACCTCCAAACCACCCCTAGGAGAAAGCACACCACACTTGTGGAAGGGGGCAGAAACTGGTGCCGGGGTTTGTGGGGCCAGGCTGCCATGCTCACCCTCTGTTTGCGGAGAAGGGCCGTCTGTTGTTCATGCAACTCTTCTGCAAAAGGGGCAGGAGCACATTTGTCAACCAGAAACAGAAAAGTCTTTCATATGAGCAGAGATGCAGGAAGTTAAATCAGCTCCCGTCCTGCCCCATCCTCCTCCCAGACCCAGGGAACTGTGGGGGCTCTTCCTGAAGAAGCAGCTCTGAAGCTTGCTCCATACAGGGTTTCATTCCCACCAAATGATCTGGCAGAACCATGGAGATCCCAAACCTGCCCTTTATCTCCCATGTAGCATCACCCACCAGGACAGCAAAAGGGCCTGTTCTGCCATGTCCAAACCTGGCCACTTTTTGTATGTTCACACACATCCATCCCACTGCAGGGCTTGCAGTACAACCTGCTTCTCCCCCACCATCAGCTAGCTCCAGCATCCTGAGCCCTGGGGTCACCACAGGCTGTCCCTGGCAGTCCCTGGCCACAAGGATCCCTCAGAACCCCCCAGCCCCTTCCCTGAGCTCAGGGGAGGCTTCGAGCTCGGTCTCACCTGGTTTGCACACTCTGCAGTGAGCGGTTTGTTGCGCTGGGCAGTTCCACCAGACTGGCCTCCTCTTTGGGCTTCTTTTTTGCTGAAGAAGAAGATACAAGAAAAGAGGGATCGCTATGGCAGTGCAAGTGCCACCAGGACCTGGGGCTGCCCCGCAAACCCATGTCATGCCATCAGGCACCAGCTCCCCATCCACAGACCCTGTTCCTGGTGGCCCTGCTCCTAATTCCCTCCCCTAAACCTTCTCCCTTCTCCTCACCATTCCCACTGTACGCTACATCCTGGGTCCAGGTGGCTGCTTTCATATCAGGGCTGCTTCTGCATATGCTCTATGGGAGTAGAGAGAGAGCATCTGGAAGGCAAAGTACACGCGTGGGAAACTCCTCGGGAGCTACCCGCGGCCGACAGCCCCTGGGGAAGGGGTAGCCCTCTATCAACCCTGCTTCTCCTCTACTCCCCGCTGCTTCTCACCTGCCCTTGGGCCCTTCTCACCAAAAGGGAGGTAGAAAGAGGGGCAATAGCCAAAGCCCTATGGCAAGAGCATCTCTCGGAGGGCCACTGGGATTCAGGACTCCCCCAGGCGTCACCCAGGTGCAGAAGCTGCAGTTTCACAGCACGAGGTTTTCCTCTTTGCCGTTGCTGGAAGCTATACTCACAACTTCTCTGCACACATGAGACACTTGTTGGTGTGCTGCTTGCCAGAGGAATCCCGAACAGGGTCGTTCTCCCGCGTGCAGGACAGCCGTCCTCCAGCCTCGAACTGGGAGCGATACTCACTGCAGTCATCCTGTGGAAGGAGGGCAGCGGTTAGGGCACCCCGTCCTCCCTGCCTCGTTGACCTGATTCTTAGAAACCTGGGGTTTCCTGCCAGGAAAGCACTGAACCATCACAAATGCATCACAGGGAAGGCTGGGTGCGAACGAGAGAAGAGGGTGTGCAGTATCAGCCACTTAGTATATAAACAGAGTGAGTCAGAAAAATGATGGGTGCCTCTGCCTGCACAGCACGTGTCAGGACTTTTCTACTACAGCCTGACTAATTATTGTGCTCCGTGTTGGGCTATCCAAAGCACGCCAGTGATGTGGCCGATAGGTAACAAAGCCGTCCCACTTCTCCCACCATCCTTAGCACGCAGCTACAGCTTTTATCCCAGATCTTGGCTCAGATAATTCCATGTAGAAAGCAGCACTACCCACCACCACCAACCACACTCTGGGACAAAAGCACAATGCAAACATCCTTAAAAGTCCCTGAGCTGTGGAAGGCTGTTTGGAGAGAAGATGATTAATTTGTTCCCTGCTGAACGTCACTGCACAGAAAGCATGTTAATTTGCCCCCATTATGTAACCTGGAGGGAAGCATTCAGTCTCTCCAATTTCTGCTACTGGAGATCCTGCAACAGCTGATCCCAAATAGCAGATATTGAAGATGCATACCTGGATCCCACTTACATCTTACAAATAGGTTTTAATATTTGCTATTTTCTGCTCACTTAGAGGTTACACAAGAGGTTTTGGCCAGCTTGCATTAAGGTCCTTAGCAGGTCAGTGCCTCCTCCTTTGCCTAGAAGTCACCAACTGTCTGTGCCCAGGGGGGATTTCCCCCAGCAGCACACCCCAAATCCCTCAGCCTCCCACTCCTCTGCTCTGCTACTGGACTAACACTGGCAGCCACCAAGCAAAACACTCCGAGCACACAAACCCACACCTTCCTAGTGCCAAACCAGCTGTGGGGAGCAGAGGCCCAACCTGACACCAGGTGAACCAAGCTCCAGGTGACCCCTGGGCCTGCTGCTGCCTCAGAGACTGATCTGCTTTTCCCATAGCAGCCTCTCTCAAACTCTCTCCCTTTGAGCCAGTATTTCTGGAGCTTTGTTCACAGCTTGACCTCTGCTGCAAAAGCCTTGCTGAGACATAAATTTGCCTTTTTCATGGGTCTGTTGCATCCTTGACCCACTAATAAATGCAGGGCTTTCTTATCCTTTGTCATTTCTAATTGACGAGCAGGAATTCTCGTTAATCACTGCCTGTGTGATCTTGCACTCTGTTATTACATTTTATCTTGTTTCTATTACTCCAGGCCTCAGCACTATCCAATTAGTCCTGAGTGATCTGCTGATCCTTCTCTGCTGATGCTGCCTCCCAGCTTTGCCATCAGCAAGTTTCACTCACACTTCCATTTTTTTGTGCCAAAGTCATTAGGAAAAGCACTAAAACAGGATTATCCCCAAGACTGAGGCTTAAGGGGACCACACTAGTCCCCAGTATGGCAGAAATCAAAAGGTAAGCATCGATGAGTACCTCTTTTTTTCGTTACTGAATTGCTTTCACCAGGAAAGCATCAGCGCACAACACCACAGTGGCTGCATTATGAGAGCAAAGTTTCCAATGGGGAAAGCTAAAAACTGAGCTACCCTAGAGACTGCACAGGGCTGAGCTCTCCTCCCACAACATAATGATCTTTGGAGCATCTCAGAGCACAGATTTAAAGCTTTTCACCCAGCTTTTCTTTTTAACCTAATTAACACCTTCAGTAGCACTGGCTTCCCCATCCTTTGCCAGGTGTCAGGACAGTACAGCACACTTTTTATTCTCATGGGATTTGTCTGTGTCATTAGATCGGTGGGTCAGTGAGATAGACCATAACATTCGAACAGAAACTATTTACTCAGAGGATTAAGAGCATCAGCAAGAAACAAGCAGGGAAAGCAAAGTGGATCTCCAAGTGAAATCAGTAGAGACAGAGCAACTGAGTACAGTAATGCTGCCTCTTTATCTTGAATGAAAATCCAAAAGAGTTGTCTATTGACCTAATACTTAAATCTCACCTTATCATTTCTTCCTCTGGTTGTAGTTGCTTTATGCTCATTCTCCCTTTTGCTGAAAGAGAAACAGGATGAGAAAGTGAAGAAATATTGCTCCAGGGAGCCCCAGTAACAGCAGCAGTGGTTTTCTCTACTCACAACTTCTCTGCACACATGATGCACTTATTGCTGTGCTGCTTCCCTGAGGAATCCCGGACAGGGTCATTCTCTCTTGTACAAGAAAGTTTCCCTTTCTTGAACAGATCCCGAAACTCCCGGCACTCATCCTGTAGAAGCGCCAGAAACGTGGTTTCACATAGACATGCTGACCGCAATGCATCTCCCACAAATCCACAAAGCATCACGCATCCAATCAATTACATTTCAGACACAACTTGTTTCCTTGAAGCATAAAACTCACTGGCAAACCATAAATCGTTTGCCTGATGCACCATTTCTTAAACTGTAGCATGCAGCATAAAAATCTGTATTCTTAGATGAGCACATTTATCATCTCCATCCAGGGTAGTCTTATTCCTACTTCTAATAGAGACAACATGCAAGAGCTTGCCTGAAGAACCTAGGTTCTGCTCTATGTATAAAAGCAACAATTTTGTTAGTTTTCCTATTGCTAGCGAGTAAACACGCTACCAAGAATTTTAAAAAGCAGTGGACAGTAGACAGATGAAGCTGCAGGCATTAAAGAAAAAATCCTCGTAGAGCTCACACTTCCAGGCACAAAGGAAAAATAGGTGGACATTTTTACCCTCTACATAGATTGACACTGTATTAATTTAAGCAAAGCACTCTTCCACAACAATACTTTTGTGGCAAAACCTTCTTCAGCATTTCAGCCTGGCCTTTACTTTCTTCTGAGCAGCTTTCCTATGGCTTTTGGGACACATGAATAGGCCTGCAGCACCAGCAGCACACACTATGTGCAAGTCTTTAAAATCCTTTATGCAGCACTTTTAAGGTTATCTGCCATGTGGTCTGTAACTGTTTTTTCCCCTCACAGTGCATTTGGAGGAGATGGTATTGCAGCTTATCCGAGATCTGCTGATAGGAAAGCCCAGAAAATTACTTGCCAAAAGCCACACTGAACCTGTGGCTGAACAACGAGATTCAGGGTAGGTCTCTGCCTGACACCCTGGAGCAGTCCTTTTGCCACACACTGGCAAGTCTGATGTTTAAAAAAGATTTCCCTTCAATCAGCTATGTTTTACAAATCATTTCAATTACCTGGACAGACCAGAGCAAGAAAGCTATCCTACTTAACCAGGAGGTATAAAAAATTAAATCCCTGTAACCAACACTATCTGATGAACAGCAACTCTCTCCTACACAGAATGAAAACCCAAGGCTGGAAAGGACAAGTCCCTCTACGTAAAGACATGCTGTCTAGAAAAACAGCTGTGGGTAAAAAAGAAACCAGCCAGGTGCATCAACAAGATAAACAAGGCACAATTAGAGCCAGCCTGTCCCACACCCTGCCCTAGTCAGAGCTCACATGCACCACCACTATTAATTATTTGCCGAATGCCAGCAGTGTGCTTTATAAGCAGGAGACATCTTCCTTAGCCTACACTCTACACAGAACATATGCACTGTGTTGGTAACTGCCTGATAGGGACTGCAGGCAGGGAAGCACACAATGAGTGGGTTGGAGACCGACAAGGCCATGCCACGGCATCACCCCGCTGCTGGTGTCCCACCAGAAGTAGCGATGCTTCACCTCACCTCTCCGGAGCTCACGTCTCTGTTCACTTCTCCACCACTCCCTTTGTTTTTTGAGTCTCTTTCCCTGCAAGAAAGGGAGGTGTGAGCGACAGAGCAGCATGCAGCCCTCAGACGTAAAACCAAAATAAGGGGTGATTAAAGGCCAGCCCTGCCAACCCCACCTCCCCGTTGTGCAACGCAGCGGGACAGCCCAGGACTCGGGGCTCCAGCCCCGTGAGACATGCTCAGGGTATTTAGCATCTCCTCATCAGTGGCATTTTGCCATCCTTTCTCTCTGCCTAACACCCAGGTGTTCCATCCCATTCAACATCATCTACAGCAATAAGAAATGAAATCCACGTGTTTTTTTCTCCCCCGTGGACTTGTTCCTCACAGCCTGTCCCCCCTGCCCTCTGTGCTATCAGCTCCAGAGCACTAACAGGCACGCAGGTTTGCTGAAGATCTATGGACAGATCTGCCTGGCCTGGGGCTGCAGCACTCAGATGGAGCCTCCCAGGAGCAGGCACTTTGCTATGGGATGAGAGAAGGCATCTAAGGGGCCGGGCGGACGATACTCACAGCAGCCTCTGGCACATCAGGCACTTGTTGAGGTCCCTCTTGCCATCCGGGCCGTTGATGGGCTGCTTGTTGGTGGGGCAGGAAAACTTGCCACTGCGAAGGAGGGACCAAATTTTCATGCACTCGTTCTGAAACGTGCGGAAGAGGGTAGTCAGCGGAGGGTTCCCTCGGAGGCCATCGAGATCCTGAGGACAGTTCATTCACATTTCATTTTTGGGGTGGTCTGTGTTCTCTGGACAACAATGAGCTTTCCACACCAGGGTGGCTACCACACTCCTTGCCCCCATCCCTCACCACAGGCTGTGCCAGGAGCCCCTCTTGTGGCTCCCGAGGCAGAAGAGACAAGAAGAAAGCTCAAAGCCCGCTGCAAGGGCCATTATTCATGAGAAAAGGAATACACATTTAATTTGCATACAGCTGCAAATTGCTACCCACTGCAGGGGAGGACTGTATATTATAAAGTAATTCAAGAGCAGCAAATAAAGCCCTAGAAGTGCCAGCGGGATGTGAAAGCAATGAATTGGCCAGAGCAGAGTGAGGAGAGATTTGTGTGCAAGGGATGAGCCACAGAGAAGTACAATCTTCTCAGGGAGCGGAGCACCAACATTGTCTCATGTGGCATCAGCCAGTTGCCTCTTCTGCTGGGGAACTGGAGATGCACGTTAGGGAGAATGAACGAAGCATTTAGTGTTGTATTTTGTTTTGTTTTTTGTCTACTATATTTTCTAAATGGGTCTTTGCTAGGGAGAGACAAGCTAGTTTGATTAAAACATGAATAGAGCTGACTTCTTGGTCATTGAATCAGATCATTTTCTGAATCTCAAAGGACTTTGCTTAATTCTTTTAATTATCAGACTCAGAAAAGGGGGTTTCTGCTGAATCAGAAGCAAATATCATTAGAAATATAGCTCATGCCATTTCTAACTTCATCCCATAAGACTTCCAGCTCTGAGCAGTTTGGTGCACTATGCTGAACACATATCTGAACACACACTGTCAGCTAGAGCCATTGCTGATTACAAGCATGTTGTCTCTAAACATGGTGAAATTCAATCCCTGTTTTCAGCCCTAGAACAACAGCGTGATCTCTCAGTACAGTTTGTCTGAATGACTTTGCTTAAAGCGTGCATTAAGTAGTGTAGCTGTCAAAACAAAAGAAGAACCAAAATAGAAAAGGTTGGACTCGCCTTAATCGAAGCTTGGCTGGCAACATCTGTGGAGAAAAAAAAAAAAAACAAAAACAAACAATGAAACTATACAAAGTCTTTGAAAGGAAATTTTTAAAATCAAAAGCCTTTAATTAAAATACTTGATGCAGTTTCATAATCCACTCAAATACCTCTAAATAAAAACTAATCCAATACATTATTGTACATTGATAGAAAGGATTGGGCATTAGAGACTTTCTGGAAGATTGCTTTTTTTTGCAATTCAAATGCAAAAACAAATCCTTTTTTGTGCCCCCCTTCACTGTGTTACTTTTCAGAGTATTAAAATCCCAATTTCAAGGATTGTTTGATAACTGTTTCTCTATTATTCTACTCCACTGCCTTGGTAGTGGCATCAGCCTTACACAAATACTTTTAGCTTTCTTCATCTTCACATAAAACTGGGACACTAGAGCCAGCCCATAATATCATTGTTTATCCAAACCTTCAAATTCCTTTTCAAGGCCCATTCCATTCGCAGTATTTCTTATAAATTACCAAATTAATGAGTCAGTAGATGAGTCGCTGATATGTTTCTTTCTACTAAGCCATTTAGAGCAAGTATAATATATATTTCATCCTTTTCTCTTGCATCATCTGTGGCATCACAGGGAACCATCAAAAAATCCTCCATCAGCTCTTTTACAGTATAAATGGGCAGCAAAGTGAAAGACCATTACATCAAGTCTGAACTCCTGATGAAGTTTCTCTACTGCAGCCCTATGAAAATGCATTCACTAGCAAGACCTTTGACAAGAAATCCCCATTTTTCTGAATTTACCAAAATATAATTTTGTTCAAAATTAAACATTTTACGTGAAAGTCCAGCCAGGTTGGAAATTTGTATTCTTCCACATGAACAACTGGGGTGATTGGTTTTAGGGTTTGTTTTATTATTTTTAAACTGTTAACCCTACTAAATATATTTCCATCTATTGGTGGAACTTCACCATTCTCACGTGCAAAAGAAAAAGCAATTATCAAGAATGTGTTAAATAAAAATCAATCCCATAAGTGGTACAGAAAAAATGGTCTTCTGTTGCTCCTTTAAAAGAGCAAGGGCTCTCTAATCCTCTATTTTGCTGTCTTTAAGTGCTGTACCAGGCCCAGATTTCAGCACAAAGAACAGAATTTACTAACCTGAGAAGAAGCAGAAAAATGCCAGAGCAAGGACCACCGAGGCACCTTCTATTTTCATGGTGAGGGTGGCGACTGTTTGCCTGTGTTGACTCTATTAGTGCATTGCTCAATGAGACCCAAAGAAAGGGCTCAGGTCAGATCACGTATATATAGATGAGCAGATTCTCCGCCTTCGTTATGACATAATCTTCCCAAGAACCATCATTAGCCGCAAAAACCAGTTTGATGACAGTAGCTTTAAATTCTAATCATCCCATTAACACAATTAATTTCCATAAGGATGGGACATATTTGAGTCACTCCCTGCATTTTGTCAAGGTAAGAAAATTATAAATGGATCATTTCATTTTACCCACATGGCCGGGGGAATTCTTACCACCTTCAGGGTGGTTTATAAGACAGAGGTATTTCAGAGCATACCACTAATTGCTTTTCATATCTCAACAAAATAGCTGAAAGGGGTTTATTTTAATTATTTTGTTTCAGCAGACAATGGGAAGACTGGGTCACTCAAGACCTCTGCAAGTCAGTCGGCTTTCATTAAAGCACCTAAGTTTGAAGCCAAATAGTAAGCATCCAGGCAAGTTTGAAAAACACCAGGCTTGAGGCAGTGTTGAAAGACTTTGAATTTGTTCCTACAATTCACATAGTGCTGCGTTAACTAGAAAACCTTATTGCAAGATCCTCATTCATCCCTTCCCTGTTTTTCTCCATTATCTTTGGAAGAAAGGGCAGTGTTATTAGTGAAAAACCTTTCCTCAGCCCACCTGGGACCTGGCAGACCGTATAGATACTGCTCCTCAAGCAGATCAGTGCTCACAGAGGTGTGACGTTATTGATGCTAAAGGGTTCAGCAAAGTGGCCTCGCTTAAGTCTCTCCCAAAGAAAAGGTGAAATAATGAAGGTGGTTGTTCCAGGGGACAGAGTTTATCAGAAGATGCAAGAAAAGAAAATAAGGTTAACGTCAAAGTTTTGGAATACGATTTACACAGGAAGAAGCTGTGCAGCTTGTTCACTGGGAAGAATAGGAGAATTTGGAGAGAAAAGTCATTTGTAAGGTTTTGAAGGTGGATAAATGGCAATCCAGCAGACCAGAGCTGCAAGATACTTGAACACAGGCAAGCAGGCAGAGGCCGTACCAGAGAGGCAAGTCAGCTCCATCTGAAGAAGGAAGAAAACATATTTTCGCATGACGTGTGCACTTGGCCAGAGAGGCCAACGCAGCTCAGCTCAAGCATAAACTCTCATAATAAATTGCTGCCACATGTTTCCCAAATCAGAATAGTTGCTACTGTTTACAACTGGAGCCAAAGCCAAACGAGTAGAAAGTCCTAATTTGGTATGTGGTCATCCCTAATGTTTCTTTTCCACTCAAAAAATTAAGTCATAGGCAGGTTCACAGTGGTGAATTTGGAAAATGAAACTGCCCGAGGTCACACAGATGCTTAGTGGTAGATTGGAAGAGCTGTGTGTTGCCCTGAACCATGACATCATTTCTGTACACGTATTTGGGCATGGAATTAGAGGGGAGACGAACAGGAAAAGAAAATAACTAACCTGATATAGCATGTCTCAGTAAATTCTTGGGAGAAACTGGAAAAGAACTATGATGGAAAAAGCCAAAATGTACGGTAATTTAGAACTACATAGAGCTGGAAGCCTTTCTGGAGCACAAAAACAAAAGACATTCTTGGCTACTGAGGTGTCTTCCCATGAGTCAGTCACAGGGTAGTAAGGGAGATGCATTTTTAGATGGGTTTTATTTTAAAGATCATTTTTTCCACTAAACGTTCCATTCCCATAAAGTGAAAGAACGCCCTGATTTCAGACAGCTGGCTGACCACCTCATTCCTGAAGGAGGTACTGTGGGTCCTGCGCCCGGTCAGACTGGCCAAGTGAGAACAAATTGCAGCCCTGACAACACACCTCAGGTCAAGGAAGAGGGAAGAGACCCAGACCCCAACTCCAGACCAACCCTGTGACTGCTGCATCTCACTCCCATCCTCGCACCCTTGCACCCCATCCACTAGCCAAACCCACACCAATGTGTGGGAGAAGGCCAGAATACCCCAAAAGTCCCTTGAGACCAAAGCCAGAGCCACTTTCAGTACTAAATCTCTCCAAAAAAGAGAAAGATTTCCTTCTAATTACTACCACATAATTACAATCTCCTGAAAAAAAAAATAAAATAAAAACAATCAATGGTATGAAAAGTGATGTGAGGGGATGGGGAGAACCCTACAAAGCCATAGGATTTGAAGGATTTGGTCCTGTGTACTTGACTTACAAGAGGAAACCCAGTCACAATAACGAAGGATGACAGCAAGAGTATTAAACAAACCTTGCCTGACTCACTTGATTGCCTTTATTGATGGATTTACACAATAAAGTCTCCATCCTGCACTGTAATCCAGTCAACCCACTAATTTCTGTGGGATTTTGTATTGCAGGATCTAATCTGTTGTAGAAGAGATGTTCCTGATCTTTTAGCAATGAATTTGGTACAGCGCCTTGCTAATCTTGATTTAAAGATAATGCCAAACATCTGAAGAGCGATATGCCATTGAGGAAAGCAGCTGGAAGCAAGAGATGCTGCAAAGACCCTTTTGTTCTTTTCTCCGTTTCAAATTTAGAAGAGAAGTAAAGAGCGTATAAAACGGTGCTAGGTAGGACAGCTCTCACAGAGCCCAATTTCCTACGCACTCTGCTAGAAAAATTGGAGAATGGGATAAAAATAATCATGGAGGAGCAACTGGGAAAATGCAGGGGATGAGGATGGAGAATAATGTGAAATTTAGGCAAACTTGTGAGGCAGAAATCCAACAGCCTTTAAGGAATCCTAGGGACAAAACAGAACAGCAATCAAACTGGGACAGCCCCAGCGTGGGCAGGACACAGGCAGAGACATTTACCTCTTCCTCATTCAGAGCCCACAAAAAGTTCAGGAAAGAGTCCAATAAACAGCCAAATAGTTCACAAACAAATAATTTAAATGCCTTATCCTTTCATCATTTTCCTTCCTTTCGTGACATGGCACTATCCCATTTTGTATATGGCATCACCTCCTTTCTGGTGGGTTTGGCATCACCTGGGGATGTTTCAGTCCCTGACAGTATAACTGTTCAACTTCTCTGCCTTGGTCGTTCCTCGCTGGTCAGATGCCAGCCTCCACCCCAAGCAGCTCCAAGGGTGTGCTCCATGTTTGAGAGCAGGAACAGTGCAGCCCCATTCTCACCCCAGAGCAATGCAGTGTTTTGGCTCAAATCTCTAAAGGCACCACGTGAGAACAAAGTGACCCCAATAAGGACAAGCCCACATTTCATCTACTTTGGTATTCTGCCGGGGACTGTCCCCTTTGCAGCACTAAGTTTGCCTCTTGTTTTCCACAGGATGCCCCACATCCCTGCGATCAGCGCTGTGACTCCAGCACCGTAACTGTGACTCCCAGTGACAAAAGGGACTTTGCCCAGTGCCGCTGCTGGGTCCTCAGACCAAACTAAAAAAGTAACACATGATTCCATGAGCTGCTAGCCCTGCTCACCTGCAGAGCCTAGGGCTCCTCACTTTTCCTGCTGAGCACCAGCCGAGCTCACCTTAGCACAGCCTCACTGGTCTCAAGGTGCTCCCTTGGGCAGCTCGTGCTCTGTCACCTCTCCAGGCACCCCCTTCTCACTAGAGCATGCAACCTGTGACACCAGCTGCCCTCTGCTGCTCTCACGTCCCAGGGAAATAAACTCCTTCATGCCCAGCAAGAAATAACATGAGGAGTGAAATAATCCAATGTTTAATAGAGCTACCCATTATTCCCACCAGAGATATTCTTTTCTGTCCTGATTGGCATGCTTTTTACCTCCCTCCCTTTTTCCATTCTCAGAGCAACTCTGGCCACAGCAACACCTGATGCTTGTTCCTCTGAAACTTCTTTTCCAGCCCACCACTACATCTCTCTCAAACCAGCAACCCTCAGGGCTAAAAGAGAAGAGACATGGTTGTTTGGCATATTTAGCAAAGGAAATGTAGAGTAGATGGTATTTTGCTTCCCAGAGAAGCAGAGTCCAGAGCTCTCAACGTCAGTAGTGCTATATGAGTTGCACCTCCAGAGTGAGATATTTCAAAACCGAAGGACTTCAAAGGCACTTTCCTATTTTTAATCAGCCTCTCAGCACAAGAGGCCCCTTGCAGCTCCTTTGGGCTCATCTGCAGCTCTCAAATAGAAAATAAAGGGTAGAGCACCATGCTGCTACACTAATATTGCAAGCTAACAGTCTTTTGGGCTGCAGCTATGTGGGTGTTGCGCACAGAGTCCCCATTCTTTGCATCCTGCTGCCTTGCTTAGTGCCTTGGAAAAGGACTCATCTTTTCTGTCAACAACAACATCAGTACCGTTTCCTCCCCTCCAGGGATACCCGGTTATTCACCCACCCAGTGCTGCAAGAGCCACGAGTCTTACCCATCTCCTCAGCACAATTTGGGAGGCACCTCACCTGCACACATCCCGTGCAAGACAAGGTTTATGACAGCAGACAAACCTCTTTAGCTTGCACCCACTTCTATGGCTGAAATCCAGTAGCTGATCAGCCAACAAGCCAGTCAGCCCCAAACTAACGGAGTCTGAGCTTCCAGACTGCAATAGCTATGTGCCTCAGCGCTCTCTTGTTCATACCTGCTGCTGCCACAGCTCTCAGGCAAGCTCTGCCCAGACCTCCAGGGAAGCAAGTCTCAGTCATTCTGAAATCCAAATTACAGCACAGTCACCCAAGGTCTATACCACAGTCCTCTTCCTTCAAGCAGGATGAGTTTTGTGAGCCCAAAATTGAGCCCCACCAGCCCGACCCACTGAAAAGTCCTTCAAGTAGCTTCTCATTTCCAACCCTTGTGTTGTGTATGCAATTCAGCCCAGCAGTACACCACCTGGCTGCATTGCTGCAATGGCTGGTTGTGTTAACTCTCAGCATCCTGGATCACAAAGGAGAGTGAATTGCTAGAGGCCAGGAGGAGAATGACAGGAATTTCCTGACTCCATCCACCTCTGAGAATTTCGGTTGCAGAGCAAGTCTTGCACATCCTAGAGTGCGCAGAGCTTCAGCAAAATGTTTCAGAAGCACGTCTGGAGCACGGCAGTAAACTTCACCAACAAAAAACTGTGTGTCAAGTGGACTCACTGCTTCAAAGGGAAAAATAGGGATGAGCTTAATTTGTATCTGCAGTTTTACAAACCTCTATGCACAGAGCATCTAACAGCTTTGCCTAAACCCAGCACCTACTGCATCCTCCTCCAGACCCAGGATCTCATCAGTCATGCCCTTCCCTGTCACCATGTCCTTTCCTGCCCAAATCTACCTTTTAGCTCCGATCAACACTAAAATTGCAAAAAGCATCTTTGGTTATGGACTCTTACATGTCATTTGCACAAACTCCAGCGCGGAAAGGTCGTGACACACACCAGGTCCCCGTGTCACATCTGCAGTACAATCACAACAACTTCCAGCATTCTGTGCTCGAGCCAGCCTTGCCTTTGCAATCCTTCTTAGGCCATGAGCCACCATGACATGTGGCTGACTCTTCTGGACAGGCCTCTGCCACTGCTGACTTGGCTTGACGATGCTGGGGAGGAGGGGGAAATGAATCAGGAAGTGAGCAACCGTGAGAGGTGTATGTCTGAAAGGCAGGGATGAGGCTAACTTTGGAAGATCACAATAACAGCGTGTAACACATGCCATCTTCAAAGCACTAATGAATCCCTACAAGGTTCCCCTGTTATTATTTGCATTTCACAGATGGGTATATTAAGATGCAGAAGGCCACATTATCCTCTGGGTCACACCTATTTCAGACTATTCATCTCTGGTCTTATACTGGTATTCATCCCTGTGGTGTGAGAGATCCTCCCACTAGTCAAAACAACAATGCTATCTCTCAGACAGGCTTGGTGTGGGAATCACTAGTATGATCTATGGTCTGATTTGCACAGCACGCTGGGCTGACTGGTCCTATTGATCTCTCCTGGCCTTGAATACCTACCAGTTAATCAATTCTCCCCTCCTACCAGGCTGAAGGTACAAGGAGCTCTGCCTCATTGCTGGCTTGGATGCTTTTAATATTTATCTTTCTTGATGTGAAATATGACAGAAAACCAAGGGAGAGATGCATCTGGGAGCATCTAACATACCACCCAGCCTTGACTGAGGCAGCAGTCTCAGCCTGGCCCACAGAAAGGTCCCACCTTCCAGCCAGGAGCCTCCCCACAGCTCAACAGCTTTTGTTCGCAGAAGAATGAAGCTGCCCTGGGAAGTGGGCTCCTTGAGAGAGCAAAGCTGTTCCCCGAGCTATAAGCAATACCATGTGGGAATGGGGCAACAGGATGCTGGAACCAGCCTCTGCATTCAGGAGAGATCCAGCATGGAAGCAACAAGCTCTCCCTGCCAGCTCGGGGGGAAGCAGCCTGCAGATCCTGATGTCAACGCTTTTCAGGGCAGTATTCGCTCATTAAAAGTGGCTGTGCTGGAAGTGGTGGGAGCTGGGTTTTGATCTACAAGGCCTCAGCAAATAACAGCTGTACAGTGAAAGGACTTCCCACCCTGACATCCCATGGAGCTGCAAAGGACTTGCAGGCTCGGAAGGCCACC